CATCAAAATAATACACAACATAAGATGATGTTTTGTGTTTATTGTAATGTATATTTAGGTAGACTAGAGCAGGACTTGGTGTATTACTACCCATAAATAGATATTAAGAATCAACAGCAGCATACAGTAACTTTAAATCCATCCTAAAGCACTTCTTACATTTATTATAGCAATTTCTTAATTTCCCTCTAAAGAGTGATATTTAAGAACACTTTTAGTGCCGGTCTTTAATTAGAGGATTCTAATTAGAGACCAAACCTGCTAAAGACCACCAAAACCCCGGTCCCAAAAGTGGTCTTTAATTGGAGGGAGATCTGCACACTATAATTCTGCCATTTTCAGACCTAGATTGGCCTGTTCTCACTACCTCAGCAACCAGAGTGCATGAAGGTGAATCGGTAACATTGTCATGTAGGAAACCTGATGGTGTCCCGGCAGTCTCTAAAATTTCATGGTATAAAGATGGACAAACACACAGTACCGCAAACACCACCATATTTCGTACAAGTGAAAACGCACTAGAAATGTTCATTGAATCTGCAACTCCAGACGATGTTGGCATTTATACCTGTAAAGCTGAAAGCAACCAATTACAAGGAGAAAATGGAAAAACCAGCAATCAAATTGACTTGGAAGTAATCGGTATGTATTTTATGCAATTGTTTGTATTTTTATATCATCTTAGTCTAGCCCTCGATTGTAGTAAAATAGGACCTGCTCTTTAATTCTTTAAACATATAATTATCGTAAAAACGTTCCTGATGATTTATGTTTCGTTTATAAGCAATTACGGTATGACATAAACGTAACTTCAAAAAGTGACTAAAAAGATGGTACGACTGTATATAGGCCCTAAGGCCTACAATTTTGGGGGTATTTTAACTAAATGAAAAACAAAAGGGCAGCAAAACAAATAAAACAAATTTTTTTACAAATTAAAAAAATGTGAGTGAATTTATTAATTTCTTTCTTTCTTTCCTTTTTTTTTTTTTTTTTTTTTTCCAGATGCACTACAAAGTTGTCTAAAGTTGTTGTCTGATGTAAGATATTTCCATTCTAGGCCTACATTAATAGCAAAATGTCAACTGTGGGTTATTTTTATTACATCTGATAAGTAACCTTGAAAAAAAAAATCCACCCACTCCTTTTTATCATTAAAAAAGAAGGGCAAACAATTAATTTTTAGGCCTAATTTGTACCCACATGTTTGCTGTGGCGGCGCTAGAGTTGATTATATAAAAATGGAGCAAACACAAAAACAATATTATGACAGCGAACGGGCAGAGCCCGAGACAGAAAGGATATTAGGGAAATTTGCAAAACTAGACATTTTCGAAATAGATAGGCCTATAATATTCGTGGATGCTCTTTATTATCCTTAACCACAAGTTGGAAAGCGTGGACACAGCAGGGTCTTAAGCTGAATTTAAAATAAGAAGAAACTGAATAAGATTGAAATAAGCTAGTAAGATTACGGTATAGGTACAGGCGTTAAAAAATTAATAATAAAAAGATAACATGTCATTACAATATTCATGTACTGACATGTTATCAACGAAATTACAATGCATATGATCTTACCCACCCAGTCCAAGATGCGATCACTTTCAGTAAGTCTGGTAGATTAATTCACCCTCAAGTAAAGACTAATCGGTTTAAAAATTCATTTATTCCATCAGCAGTCAGACTTTTTTAACATGCAGTTTAATAAACAAGTCGTAATATGTATGGCCTACCTTGCCTTTCCCTTACAACTCAGTAATCCTTGAAATACTAGGTTTTTATCGACAGCTGTTCAATAAATTTCAGCATCTTGTATTATTTTTGTTGTCCAATTGTATGTATTTAATTATACAGTACGTCTATATTTTTCTACTAATATTAGTGTATTTTATAGAGCCATATCTCATAGCATATTTTATACTGTTGTGACAACTTATCGATAAAACCAGTAGCACCACAGTACTTACCATTGCATATAAAGTTTCCCATTAGCCTTCAAGAGCGAAAACAAAAACAAAAACAGATAAACATCAATTATGTAATTGTACTTTTGTACACAGGTCGTCCGGATTCACAGTCCAAAGAATGTCCATCCAAGCCTACGGATCTCATCATTTCACTCACAGCAGTTATTGCTTTGGTTATTGGTTCCGTTCCGACTTATTTAATAAGCCGATACATCTATGTAAGTGTTGACATTAACAGCACAACACAATTCTGATAAAAAAAAATCTTTATAAGGAAATAATATATTTCAAAATAAGTACTTTTTATGGCAAAGATTTACCAACATTTGTTGATTTCTTTTTTATTTAGAAGAGGAAAGAAAAGGAAATCCATCACCAGTATCACTGTCAGAATTCTCAGTACCAAGATCCGATGGAAGTTGCTCTAACTCCTCGCCACTACGAAGATCTCAATATTTATACCGATATCGATACATCAAATGACGACAATAACAAAGCTTACTCTGAAGTCCAAAGCATTTACGAAGATCAGGTTTTGTAATAAGCGCAAATTAGCACCATTTGACCTATTTAAAAATATATTTTGTAAAGCAATTTACAACTAGTGGAGTTATGTTATCGCATTTGAATCCCAAAGTTCTGGGGTTATCAAAGTAAAACTGTATCTCCAATTACTGTACCAGGCCCTCTAAAAAAGAAACTTTGTTTGGAGTACAATCATCATTTAAACTATACAGCTGTGGTTACCCAATATTGGCGATATTCCAATCGGCATATAAACTGTAATGAAGTATATAATCTAGTCTAGCCTGGGTTCCAGGCCCTAAATTTGGGTTACTAACTCTTTATTGCACTTAGTGCCCGCCATACCCAATTCAACTGGCGTCCCATACTCGGTTTCTTTTTTTTTTCCCGGATTCTAAAAAGAAGGTGTGAAGACCATATATTTATATTAAAAAGTATTCTTGCTACAAGGCAAGCACAAGGCGGCAAGAAGACACATCTTGCCTTTTTAGACTTTAAAAAGGCTTTTGACTCTGTATGGAGACAAGGACTTATACAAGCTATTAAAATTGTAGGCATAAAGGGCAAACTTCTAAATATTATTCAGAACATGTACTCCGGCAATGTCAAATGTAATGTTATTTTTAATGATATTAAATCTGATGTTTTTGAAACTAAGGAAGGAGTTAAGCAAGGTTGTCCACTTTCACCTATCTTATTTTCTATATATATAAATGAACTTAACAAAATCATTAAAAAAAGAAAATTAGGAATTTATATTTTCAACACACAAATTGGAAATTTATTTTGGGCCGATGACGTTGTTTTAATAGGTGAAAATGAACATGACCTTGAACTATTCTTGGATGCAGCTGCAGAGTTCTCAGTACTCTGCAAACTTAAGTTTAATTTAGAAAAATCACAGGTATTTGTTGGCCAAAGAGTAAATAAGCTGAGAAAATGGAAATTAGGTAATAACCTTATTAAGTGAAACAGATAAATACAAATATCTCTGTACAATTATATCAAGAAAAAACAATATAATGATCATATTGAAGAGGTTATCAAAAAAGGAAATAAAGTAATTGCCTATATCAAGTCAATTGACTGATGGCCAAGAAGATTGCCAAGAAGACTTCAACAGGATATACTATGGTGATTTATTGTGGAAAATAATTGGTCTTCCTACAATAAACTATGCATGTCCTGTTTGGGTCCCAGGCAGTAAACAGTTAGTTAACAAACTTGAAAACCTGCAATATCAGATGGCTCAAATGATCCTGAAAGCACCAAGGAATGTTGTCAATGAAGCTTTACTTGGTGACTTAGGGTGGCAATCTATGGAAACGATTCAAAACAAATTTAGAATAAAATATTTTGATAGGCTTAAAACTATGGATGAGGATAGATTGCCTAGACTACTATGTAAATCACTTATGGAGGTTAGATCACTTACACGATGGAAATGGATCGATAACATTAAAGCATTATTAGACAAATATGATCTAAATGATATATATAATATGGAACCACAAAATACTCAGTGGATAAAATCTTTTAGTAATATGATGTCAGATAACAATAATAAAGAATGGTTTCAAAAAGCAACTAAAAAATCATCACTGAAGGATTACATTAAATACAAAAATATACCAAATTTAGAATACTACCTTTTGGACAAATTGAATTTTACAGGTACACATTTAAAGTTTAAAGCTAGAACTAATGTTCTAGATCTTGAAGGCAGAAAACGGCATGGTCAGATATGCACTCGGGCCATTGTATTATTTGCAAAAAAAGAGAATTAGAAATGGTCGACCATTTTCTATTTGATTGTGAAGGCCTATCCTCTATAAAATGCATGTTTTGAAAATTTGAAAACTGATTTGTGTAAAGTTAATAGGTTCTTTTGGGACATTTTCTTCGAAGGTTCGTGTGAATTTAGGCACCACTTACTTTTAGATAATATTTTTGATGCATACCAGAATATTGAAATTTGTAACATATTTGATAACCATTGTAAAACATATTTAACAAAAGCAATGACTGAAAGAACTGAACTAATGAAAAACATTACCACCAATATTTAATTTTTATGCTATTTACTGTACTTTAATAAACTTATATTTTTGTCATTTTTATTTATTTATTTACTTTATATTCTGTAATTGAATTCTCTATTTTTTTTTTTTTTTTTTTGTACATTAAGTTATTCCTTAATAACTACAGAATAATGAGAGTAACATTTGTTTTGTTTGTCCAGTATTTTTTCTTTACTCATTTAACTTTTCAATAATTCATTTTTATATATTGTCAGTTGTTGTTTTGTAACTGTTGTACGGGTCGAACCTCTCCTGCGCGAGAGTGTTCCTCTGTTATAAAAGAGAGAACCAATAAATCTTATCTTATCTAATATTCCGACTCTGAATTAACTTTTTCGTTGGTGGCGCTGTCCAGAATGAGAAAAATAATTAAAAAAATAAGAGACTTGTGGCAAGTCTAAATCTAGTCGTATCTTAATCATCGTTATAATATAACTTGATCATCAACAACTAAATAACCATCACCATTGTTATACCATTGCTACTACCATACAGCTGTGGTTACCCAATATTGGCGATATTCCATTAGGCATATAAACTGTAATGAAGTAATGTAATCTAGTCGTATCTTAATCATCGTTATAATATAACTTGATCATCAACAACTAAATAACCATCACCATTGTTATCATACCATTGCTACTACCATTCTCTTAATTATTATTAAAAATTATGGAAGATAAGTGTTCCAAATATGGTAAATTAATGCATTAATGTTAGTGATGTTTGGATGTGAAATATTCCCCCTTCATAATTTGTTTGTTTGTCATATGCTGAAATAAATTGATGTAAATAAAAACTGAGTGACCAAGCTTAGTTTGTGATGGAATGGCATTCTTCCAAAACACAGGATTAACAAAAGCATGATCATCTGACACCTGCTTTGCAAAGGGGCTACACAATTAGATAACATATCCCCTTGTACTACACTCAAGAAGTCAGTAAATCTCACCCTCATCGGATCTTCACACTACCTCTAAAGCCAAGTTAAATCAACAGTCTACTGCTAACATAGACCAAATCCAATTCCCGTCAAAGATTTTAATATCATCCATTTTGAATAAATGTACAGGTAAAGATATGCAAATAAGAATGCAAATTGTTATTTAAATATAAATCCAAATGAATATGCAAACGAATAGCAAACTTTATATATTTGATTGAAGATAACTTCTTCCTTTAATAATTCATAATTAAATTAACATACAATTATACAATACAATGAAAAATGAAAAAGTTACTTATTGATCTTATCTCATAGATAATACCAATTTCAATTACTATATATATATATATATAATATATTTTCGTCCACTCTTGTGGACTTCATCATTTACACTGATGAATTCCACAGGAGTGGACAAAATATTTGTGTGAAATACATTTAAATATGTCAACTTGACATTTGTTTGTTTCTATTGCCATTGCCTTCACTACTAGTTATCAGATGTTATGGATATTATATCTTTATGGGGCACTGTTTTACAGGATTATTTTCATTGTAGATGAACATTCCATTTATCATTGGTACTCAAAAATGAGTAGGTAACAAAACACTGTAATTATAAAAAATTACTACATTATACAGTGTTACAAAATATTAGTTTGCTAGGTCACCTCATTCTGGTATGCTGCTAGGATACATAACTGTATGTATAATTTTTCTTAGATACGACACAAGTCGACACAACCCCTTAATAATTTCCTTATTTTGTTTTTCTTTATTTAGTTTGTCAAATTGATTTTGATTGCAAAACACTATGTAGACGGCACAGTGTAATCAAATTAATAGTTATTGTACACAAGTTACATTGAGAGCTCTCTTCTTGGAATGTTTCAATACCTGTCTATGGCAAACTACTGCTAAAATGTCTACAATTGCTTGTGATAACCATCGCAACGTTTATAACTGTTTTATATCAGACAAACTTCTTGAATTTAATTCAATAAATCATATATATTGTATATATATTATAGATTATAATAAAGCAATATATTAAATAATAAACTTGATCTGAATGTGTTGTCAGAATACAAATTTTGATTGTTGGTACATACAAGACAGTGGCGCAATGACCGTCAGAAACGGTCTGGGGGAAGGGGTGGGGTTTCGAGCAGCCCAAAACCCACCAGTCAAAATGCGTGACATGGGCCTCAAGCCCCTGATACTACTACCCAGCACTCCTAATACAGATCCTTGACCAGAGTGCTTTCAGGTGAAAAGCTCCAGTCCCCAGTTTATAAGAGACCAGGAAAGACCTCAGCAAATACAAGTTGATTACATGATTGGATATGCCACACAATATTTTAAAAAGGCAGTGACACTGTCTAATATTTAAATGCATCCTTAAACAGAAGTAATCCCTTAATATAAAAAGTTAAAATTACTCTTGTAACTACTATTACACTGAAATGGTCCAATTCAATCATCTAGTCATAATCATTTATATTGAAAGAACTGCATACATATCATACTTGCCTAATAAAAAAAACAAGTGGGAAAAAAAAATTTCAAAATATATATTGTATATGAAATAAAAACAATATTTTGCATCAATAAAATATTTCACAATTTAATAGTGGCTAAGGACTTGTTAAGTACTGAGTTATTATTTATTAATTTCTTATCTGGTTAATCTCTGATCTGGTTGATGATGCTCCAATCTCTAATGTGAACTTCTTATCTGGTTAATCTCATCAATAATCTGTTTAATTTGTTATCTGGTTAACCTATGATGAATTTTTATCAGGCTAATTTTCAAAATAATCAGGTTAAGCTTGGTTCCCATAAAATTGCTACACTGATGCTACACTGACGCTACCATGTTTTAACCACAACTCTTACATTGTGTAGCTTTCCCAAAGCAATAGGGAAGGCTCTCTGATTAAACATAGTATGTAGTGTCACCAGTGTCTGTCGGCAATATCATGTAGCAATTTACATGTCTGTCATTTGGTGAATCTGTTTGTTATCTTGTCAATTGTCCATTCATTTGGTTAATATCCGATCTCATAAATATCTTATCTGGTTATACTCTAGTTTAATTGATTTCTTATCTGGTTATTTACATATCTGGTTAATGTCGTTATTAATACCTTATTTGTTAATTTGTTTTAGCTAAATTTCTATTTGAGTATTAAACAGCACATATTTATTTGGTTCTTGACATTCTGCCAAAATAGTGCAGGTTTTTTTATATTAATATTTTGTTCTATTTGCATCTAATCTAAATGAATATTTGAAACCATGAGATGTGTAAACAGCACTGATTTAATCAAAATAGCAAATTCATGACATACAACCTTTTATAATAAACAATATCATTGTTACTATGATTATAACTAAGATTAAAATAAACATAAATCAAGAATTAATTTCATTAAATTTTGCATAAAAACCAAACATTGACATACAATAAAAACTTGTTTCTAACACAACAAATTAACTAAACATTTAAATGGAAGTTATAGGCTTGTTTTTTATTCTGCTGAGCTGATGCTAAGAGGTCCAAGAAATGATTAAAGTTACCTTAGTAACATAGATACAATCAATGTACTATGTTTGCTGCTCTCCATTGGTGGTTATTATGGATGTAAACCAGTAAAAAAAATCCATTTATCTTTGAACACTATTACACAAAAACCATTGGACCATTCAAAGATTGGCAAAAACCAATTGAAACTACTGATACATCTGTGGCAGTATAGATTTACTTATTTACTTATCTAACTAGAAAGTTATAATATGAGTACAAGGTTTGCTCTAATTCTGCCTTTAATGAATTACCCCAACAACTGGTTCTTGTATCTTCTTTATGTGTTTAACCAGTCTAAATCATCCTCATCATCTGCTCCACCAAACAGGGGTGGTGGAGGCTTCCTTGGCTGAAACATAAATTTACAACTAAGTAAATTTGGTGGTGCGCAAAAATTTGGTTCAAAGGGAAGATAAGGGAAGGAAGGTTATTTCTATCTCTCTCTCTCTCTGCTTTAGCATAGGATCAGTCATAGATTATGTTCCAATAATCATGGAATCCCTTTCCCCAAACCCACCCCCATAGAATTGGAAGAACTTCTTATAGCACTACATGCTTTCTTATACATAATCTTGGCAATGAAATTATGTACACAATAATGTTACTTACATCATCATCGTCATCATTGTTATCCAAGACTGGTTTCTTTTGGATCTTCTTTTTGGCTGGTACTGCAGTAAACAAATCACTATCATCGTCCTCATCATCATCAAAGATACTGAAATGGACAAAGAAGCACAAATTTATTATATATCTATTATATTTATGATTATATAATTATCATATTTGTTGTTTAGCAGATATATACTCATAGAAACTTCCCATACACATCTCAACATGTTTCTTTTTCTTTGGTACAGTACTGCAAGAGAGAAGGAGCCTATTTTCCTCTACAGATATACAGAGAAACAAAGTAAAAGAGAAATAGTATAAAACAAGATTCGTTACTGTGCTGCTGAATATTACAAAAAGTCCTGACAAATTACAAGTGTTCAAAATGTTTTTTAACAGCATAGCTTACTCTATACTATTGTATCTTTAGCATCAATCAAAATAGAGTTGTTTTGAATTCTCTTTGACAAAACCAATGTATTCACCTGTTTGCTGCTTTTGTTGGCTTTTCATCATCGGGGGGAAGTTCAGGTGGAAGCTCTGGGGGTGAATCTGGTGAATCCTGTGGTGGTGACTCTGGTGGAAGTTCTGGAGGAGTCTCTATTGGTGAGAGGTCTTTATCTGGTTCAGATGCCTCCAGACCATCCTCAGCTGTTGAAATATCTGGAAGCTGATCTGGTAGGTCATCTAAGTTTGGAGACTCAGTTGAAGGAACTGTTGGCTGTTCTGATGCTTTTTCGTCTGTTGCTTCAACCTCCTTTGCAATCTTTTCATCCACTTCACCCTCTTCTTCTTCCTCCTCCTCCTCTTCTTCTTCTGTGATTTCTGGTAGTTCTGGCATTGTCTCTGAAATAGTATTAACTTTTGGCTCAACTGGAGAAGTGTTTTCATCATCAGACTCTTCATCAGCAGATGGTGGCGGTGTAGATGGTTGCCTAGTCACAGCACTATCAGCATCTGCAAAGTCATTGATATTATATATTACAAATACTTCTGAAATTAATAAAAATGTAATGAACTTCATCCTCCTTGATGGTCAAACAAGTGGTGTATCCTAAGGTGTTTGATTCCTTGAGCATGACTGCATCAGGAGACTTCTCAACATTCCTAAAACTTTAGAAGGCTCTTGAGCACCCAGATTACTTCATTAACTCCTGATGAGTGAGGTAACTAAACTAAAAACTTGGGCTTGGAGTGCTAGTAATTAATTTGTTTTGCTTCAGTGGGGATGCAACTGGGGGAGAAAGCATTTTTGCAAGGCGTGCAACACACCTGGTTTCTTCACTTTTGTCACACGTTCATATACTTCTCCTGCTTCTTCTTCCTTCCTCTGCCTGATTTCTAAATCTGCCAGAGCCTCTGACAAGCCTGGCATATTAATACTGCATTCAGTCTCTTCTGGGGGTGCAGGCACTTGCTGCAACTGTCCAGATGCTGTCCCAACGGGTGTAGCTTCCTCCTTCTGTGCTGAAACTGACTCAGTATATGATTTTTGGATACCAGCTGGAAGAAGTTAAATATATATATTTGTTAAATAGCCAGCATGCACATTAATCTCCAGCATGTCAATAATATTTTCTGCCCTCTTCTTATTAACTATTAACTGCCATGTTATTAATTTTAAAGACAATTTTTCACTGTTCACAATTTGAAGGGGAAAATTGTTAAATATGTCTGGGGAGTTAATTATTTTAATAATTAATATTTTCTGATTAACATCGAAATTAATTAACAATACTTACAATAATAACAAAAAACAATAATAATGTTTTTTTAGAAAGTTTTTATGGATTTCTTCCTTTGCAGATTTTTGGATAGTTTTTCTAACTACCTGATTTCTTGCCTCGATACCGGATTGTTAATCGTACAGCTCTAGTATTCAGTGTTTCTTTTACTCTCAGCTCTAAAATAACACTTACACATACTAGCACTCAAGATGATGACGTGCCAAGACAACAAAACATGTTTGCGCCTAATAAAATGTTCATCTCGCTTATAAAATTTGTGTTGTTGCTTCTTTGTTTGGAAGTATCATTGAAGACTTTACGATTAATACTCCAGTATCGAAAGAAGAAATCAAGAACTTGGAAAACCTATCTAAAAATTCTGTCAAGGTAGTAGCCTATATAAACTCTCTAAAAAATTGCAAAGTGTTTTCCCCTATTAATAATATTTTAATTTTATTTACCTGAAGATTCATTTTCCTCCTCATCATCTTCATCTACTTCATCTTCTCCTTCACTACTTTCTTCCTCATCATCTTCATCACTTTCGGCTTCATTATCTGGTTCCCCTTTGACAAGTTTCATAGTCACTGCCTATAGAGTATAATACAAAGGTGAAATAGTTAATGCATTGGCTAAAAAATTATATCGTAAAAATTAACAAATTTCAATTTACCTCAATGGCAGTACAAATTATAAAACAATCAACTGAAATTAAATAAATCACTGGTAAAAACAAATATTTTATATGGGGCTTCGCTTAAAAAAATGAAGTAAAATCTAACGATCAGTAGGCATGTCAAAATTCAGGTAGAATACTTGACGCCATAGCCATTCAGCGTTGGAAAGCTCCGAATGCTAACATTTTAACACGCACTGAATTATATTTGCTGGCTCAAAATGGCATCAGATTAATTGTGCCACTTAAAATAGTAGGATTTTAAAACGTTTCCTAAAATAATAAAAAATGAGATCAAAACCTAAAAATTAAAAGAAAAAGCAAGCGATTAAAGTTTTTCATTAACATATTGAGGACTAGTACTGTTGTGTAATCCACTACTACCCAATATCCCACAATGCATCACACAAAGGCATATGGTATTCACTAGCAAATTATTTCATAGAGTACCTATAAGAAAGATATAAATAATATATTGTGCATTTGCTTTAAAACTAATTTGAAAAAAAAAATGATCGTTGCTAAATACATTATTAATGAACATTCTTACACAGAAAATAAAAAATTAGAATACTTAGAATACTTAGTCAACTCATTCTCATATTAATTTCATTTCATGTATTAAATAAACAGAACAATTTATGTTGAATAAAACAGATCAGCTTAAATATCATCCGACAGCCCTTGCTAGGGGCACAAAGATACATCCATGCTGGATCCATACCTAGACATTATCAACATCTACCTTCACCACAAGCTATGTTCACCAAAGAACATTTCCAGAAACATACTGTAGGCAGGTGATCGACGTGGGAAGAGGGGAGGGGGAGAGACATACCCTATACATGCAATCAAACATAATGCAAGGCCTCAGGGTCACAATTCTCGATACATACATACATAGTGTACATGCACATGGCATGCAGGGCATGTATGCAGAACTATCATGCTAACTACTTACACATCAAACAGCACCCGCAATTATAGATGACGATCACGGTGAGGTGAATAAACGATAATCATGGTGGGGTAAGGTGAACAGATGATGATCATGATGGGACCAACTTAAGGTGAATAGATGACAACCGTGATGGGGTAACACAAGGTAAATAGATGACAATCATGGTGGGGTAACATAAGGTGATCATATGATGATAATTGTGGGGCAACGTATTGCGAACAGACGACTAACAATGTGGGGTAACGGAAGGTGAATATATCTTTCAAAATTAGGAACAACATGAAGGGCAGGAGCACCATAATCACATTGAAAACCAAACACTGTCTAATGCACTGATCTGTAATTTTATGCCCTCAACCATTTCCAAATTAATAAATTTCTTTTGTGAAAAATCTGTATGCCATATTAAGCCCACATCTGTCCCGGAGGTTTATATTGACTACTATTACTTTTAAGTTAAACAAACTCTATAAATGATTCCAGTAGTTGTGGCAAAACTATCCCAAGAAAAAATAAGGAATTTTAGCTAGATTCTGTAGAGAAATTAATGTTTTCAAAAATAGGAAATATCTACAATCTTAATTTAATAAAAAAATAATCAGGTAAGAGGAAATATGATTTCTAAAAGCACCATGCTAACAAAAATAAAGATTCATTGGTTGTGCTAAATTAATAAACATGAAGAATTAAATAAAATATTTGAAGGTTTTGACAAATTTGGCATCCAATTAAAAATCTATATGAATTAAGAATTAAAAAAATACCTATATTGCATGCCTAGATCCTTTTTTTTTTTGGTAAACCAGCAGAAACTTAATGGTTTTCATTTTTATTTAATTCGTAAATACCATTTTCAATGTTTTCAATTTTTTAAACAATTTTTAAAGGCATTATCAGATTTTATCTCAAACACTATATATTTATATAAAAATAATCATTCTAATCGAGGACATGGAAATAACACAGATATACAATTAATTTCCTTTATGTTTATAAATTTGATCAATATTTATTTCCATAATACAGAAGCTGGTGGCCAGCCAGTTGCCTGTGTTCATGCACACTACTACATCTTCATATAAAATTACGTACACGCTGCACATTCTTCATAAGGACTTCATCAGCACACAAACATGTCTATAATGTTAATTATTATAACACTACCAACACAAATTATTATCAAATTAATAACAAAATTATAATGACAGTGATTAATGTTGATAGTAATAACAATGAACAATAACAATAGAAATATTACTTTAGTAATACGAATATCAATAGACTTAAAATTAATTCTAATGTTAACAATAATAATAATAATAATAATAATATTATTATATACCTAATAGTTAACAAGACAACAGTCTTTTTTGCTGCTAAAACACATCTGCCTAACTATTCTACTCTAAAAGTATTGATTAGTATTGATTACTATCAATACCAAGTACTGATTACTATCAATTTCTGAGTATTGATTCCTATCAATTGCTGAGTATTAATTACTATCAATTATGAATGATAATTGCAAAAGAATAATGAAAGACATTCGGTATGGAGATGAAGTCAGCAAGGAAAATCATGGTACTAAATTAATTCCAGATGAAAACTGTTTTAAACAGCGACCAAATTTACCAATATTTCCTTAGCCGACATTCAATAATTAATATCCATTTTAAATTATTATAAATATATATATCATTTCTCTAACATGGTTAATATCTTAACACATTTCTGCTAAAAAAAAAACCCATGGTAACAGTATTTTTGGAGCCTGTAAGTAATGTAGACATCAAAAACTAATTCTCTCCTTCGATTTTCCAGCTCAAAAAATGTTAAAAAGCAGGTATCTTGTCAGTCCACATACTTTCTTTGTTATTATCAAGCAGCCATGAACCAGGACACAAGAAAACATTTGAATTTTGAAACAGTAGTTGATTTACAGTTGAAAATTCTACTCTAAATACAGTTTAGCAGTTTAACCATTAACTGTTTTTTATATGTCCCATTTCTACTTAAAAATTTAGACATTTGATAAAGCTTGGTTCCACAAAATCGCTGCATGCTATCGGCGACAGCTTTTGGTGATGCTGATTGCTTGGTCGTATTGGGGAGCCTCCCCGATTCCCTCTGGGATTGCCATGCTAGTGCAAGGATTGCAGTTAAAAAACTGTAGCGATAAAGCAGCGATTTTTAAGGAACCAGGCTTTATGCAAAATGATCAGCATCGTTGATTGACACTATTTATAATTCACTAGTGAAAACATGCTTGTGGGAAAGGGGGTACAGGGGATCGTCCCAATTTCAGGGAAACTCCTGTGACTCGCAAGAGAGTTAAAACACCTAGATAATCCATGTTAAAAATAGTAAAACCTTATTTTTTAAAAACCCCAAATTAATATGCATACTAAAGAGGTATTTATAATTATCTATGTATTCTAATCCAAATATACTTCAGATGACTGGTAATGGTATATTATAGATCAGTATTTTTTACCAATTCATGAGACTTTTATGGAAATGATGTAACAACCAATAATACAACCATTAATATGTAATATTCAAATAATTTACAATCAATAATGTATTGAGTAATTGTGCAATAAAATATTTACAAATTTATCTGAATAATCAATATTTATATGAAAAAATTAATTATATAATTATAAATTTAAACTTTCATTTCTGCATCTTTATACATTTATATATTTATTTTGTCATTTTTAAAAAATTCTTTATGGTTTTCGTAATAAAATTACATTATAATTTTAACTTTTTAAAAAAAGGGCTATATACACAGGGTGTTTTAATGTTTATGATTGGTCTATAGCTAGCTAGCAAACCTGGGATTGGTCAAAATGTATAGGCAACATTAGGACTCATCTGAGCATGCTCAGAATACATTTGTGACCTATACATATACATATAATTATTGTTGTTAAGCATGACAAGTATAATATATATACAGGTATATAATATTGCTGACATTACAACAAACAAATATAGACTCCACCATGATGTTGCAATGGCAACAATTAAACACTCAATTTTGTGGAGATCCTGATCTCTTTTTCACCAATCATTTCAACCAGCTTACATTCATTATTATATTCATAATGTGTATTTAAAAAAATATAAACATGTCTATTATTACATTTATTTCTTGAGCAAGAAATCTCTACTATCCTTCGACATACATTTAACCCTCACCTTGATTGTGCTCATAATTGTACTCAGCACCTCTGTACCTTTGTAAGTGCGTTCCTCTTCAAATTCTTCTCGCAATGAGTAAAACACACTGTTCATTATTTTCTTTACCTAAAATTAAAATAAAATCATTTGAAATGTTAATCAAGCTTGAAGGAAATGGCATTCATATTACAAATTAATTTTCTTGATTTTGGTGACTTCTTGAATTTCAGCCCTTACTTTGGACTCCCTTTCAAGGAGCCCTGGATACAGCTGGGGGAACTTATACCTAAGAAGAGACTTTTTTATACCTTACCTTATACCCGCCGATATACTGATGATTTTTAATAAAAATAAAATTTTATTTTTGGCCAAAAATTAGCACACCCGCCACCACAAAAAAGTGGAAATTTCAGAAAAAAAAAATTTTTAATTTTTATTATGCCTTCTGCTGCCTTGAAATCTCCAAAAAGAAGACATGTATATTTTGTCCTAATTATATGAATTTGAAGCGTTTAACCATCCTATTTTACATTCACCAATAAAAATTTATTTTTATTTTCTCCTCCTTCGGATGTTTTTGGCAAAAACTATTTCCTAAATAAGAAAACTGATTTTTATTTTTATTTCTATTCCGCCCTTCTCCGATGATCTTTAAAAAAATAGTACCCGAAACAAGGAATAAAAAATGTCTTGGATAAGGACTGTAGTAATCTATCGTACATAGCAATACGACTATCTTATATTTAATCTAAGACTTCCTAAGCACTGTGTTGGCCGATGGTTGGCGGATGAACCCATCTGCTGGTCTTTTGAATGGCAGTCTGTACAGATCACAATTGGAAACAACCTATCACACATGCCTTGCCATGTTTTAGCTTCCACAAAATCTCCGGTCAACAAACTTTTATACAAAATACAACTAAACCAAGCTTGCCTTTAGGAATGGTGCATTATATATCCAAATAATAATGAATAATGGTTATTAGTACCTCTTCCACAACACTGCCATGTGGTTTGTTCGACATTGACCTTTCTAGATCCTGCATCAGTTCACGTATCCTCGACTCATATCGTTCCTTCATACTCATAGCATTGCCATGGAGACTGTTATACTGAAATTAGACCAGATATACAGGTTTTCATTTAACAACAAAAAGACAGGTTAGCTAAAGAAAAAGGTGTTCCTGGTAGAATGCTTGAGCGTATTTGGTCAATCTTAAGTATTTATGCATGATTAAATATACACTACCAAGGAGTGGAGGAATCTAAACACTCTGTATTGTTTTTAGTGTTTCCAATGGTCTGCAATAATGTGGTAGGCTTTGAGACTTGCAGATGTCATATAAGTGTCATATGAAGGTGAAAACTTCATAATTATCTCATTAGAGTGAGTCGCTTCTACACTATAACAGTGTTTGCTTACTTTGTCTTTCCATATCCTCATCTCGTCAACTTGTTCCTTAAGCTGTTCTATCTGTTGAGCATCATCCCCCTGTGAAGACTTCAATATTGCCAACTGCAGTAGAAATGAATGAAATAAAATGTATAAGTGTTGTTGCAAACTCTGGAATTATAAAGGTCATGACAGTTCCACATGTGCATTACATTGCAGAAGTCAGAGGATGTGTCTAATCACAGACCATAGAGCCTGTGGTCTAATTAATAATGAGTTTTATGCTGCTATGTCACGATGTGATGGACAGCTAAGAATAAGCAATTTTACAGGCTTTCCACAATGACGAATGCACAAATTAACGTAAACCATCTTTTAATAAATATGAGATTTAACCAACAAATTGGAAACAGTTAAAAAATTGGCACAGTAGTAGTTTAAGGTTGGGAGTTTGAGCACCATTCTAATAGGGAAAGTCAAGTTTGCATATGGTACATAAATATTCAATGACCAGGGGCAATAATTATACCTAATCGGGATGATAATTAAAATAACCAGGGGTAATAATTAAACTTACTTGGGGATAACAATTAAAATAACCAGGGGTAATAATTAAAACATAAGTGCCTATTGTTCCATGGATCATCATCATCATCATCATCATTTATGTAAGTCAGCATTTTCCCTCTTACGAAGGGTTACTGACTTGCACGCCATGATGGCACTCCCATCTTCCACTTCTTACTTGTCATAATTTCGCTATTGGAGTTTTTGTTTTTACAGTGAGCCTGCCCTGGCATACCACTAACCCATCACCCTAGGGGAAAGGGTGGATGCCTGTTGGTTCCTCCATGAACTTATATATGCTTTAACAGGTCTTATTTTTAATCCTATCAGGGGTCTACACACCCTCCTCACCATAGAATATCATTATGATATTTTTCCAACCTTGTGTTCCGTTGCTACCAATCGTTTCTCGAGTTCCTCCCTCTCTTCCTTGAGATCTGAGTACATCCTATCATGTTTCTCCTGTGCCTGCAACAGCAGACGATCACACTTATCCCTCCATTGTTTCTCCATTTCCTTTTCTACTTGAGAGATCTGTAATATGAAAAAATAGTTGCATTACTGTAAATAACATTGATGTTATATGTGATTTTTCTTCATTAGGACCCATGTGTTCTGTTTATTAAAAAGTTCTCGTAATCTTGAAAGCTCTGATGAGGGCAGTATAAAAGAGGCAGTAGAGTAGATTGGTCATAATGGCCAGCCATACAAAAAAGATCTATTAATCAATCAGCCGAGAGTTTCTAGAGCTCCTCATCAGAGCAAAAACGTTAAATTCTATATTATATATCCCTTATGGTAAAAGAGCCACCAACCTGTTCAACGGTTGCCACATCTTTGGATGTCTTCTGCTGCCTCAATTTGGATTTTAAAGAATCAATTTCCTCCTTTTAAGAATACATTAAAAATGAATCTCATTATAGTTATATTATTATAGTAGTAGTCAAAATAAATCATAAATACTGAGAAATAACATATCAACTCTCAACAGCAAACCTGCATACATGCCATTTTGAAACAAAGGTTAGTGTGATGCATGATATATATGGTTACCATTGGTAATTTTGTAATGTCAAATGTCAGGCCAGAAAACTAGAGTTAATGATTAAAGAATCTATTTAAAGAGTTTCATACTCTCATGCACAAATTAATGTTGTTTTCCCAGTCAGTTTTAAATGAAAGAGATAAGGATACTAAAATATGCATGTATATGCAAGTTAACTATTGAAAAATGTTTTTGTGAAATATTTTGTTAAATTTAAAGAGTACATTATTGATGAAAACAGTTACCAGGATTAAATGCACTAATTTAAAGTTTTTTTTATTGTTAAGAGAAATATTTTTAAAATGAAAGGATGATAAAGAAATCAATATTTTCCTAAAATAAATTAAAATGCTGTAGGAAAAAGGGCAAAAAATGCATATACAAATAAATAAAATTGTTCAGTATTTAAAATAAATTCTCCTGACACATGCTTTTGCAAGGCTAAAATACCTTTCTGTAAGCTCTGGAAATTTTCTAGAAAAATTAAACATTAATAATATTTTTAAGCAGTGATATTAACATCCAATTAGTTACTGTACATTACTATTGTTTTAAATATTAGAGGAAATAAGTTATTAATAAATGTTTAATTTTTTTTAATGACAAAAATTAGAGGAAAAAATATTTTATAATGAAAATATGTTATTAATAAATGTTAAATGATTTAAATATTTGTTTAATGACATAAATAAAAGGAAAAAACACCTTTCAATTTTGTATTTATTTAACCTGTATCGATACATAAATTTGAAGTTGCTAATGTTTCATTAGCATACAAAAAAATGGAATCATAAACAAAATAAACATAAACAAATACTTTATGATTAATAACGTGAAATCATCAACAAGCAGGAGATTCGGTGACTGACAAATTTTGCGTGCACTGACACTTGTGCAAATGACCAGGATATTAGAAAATATTTTTCAGAACAGAAGCAAAATTATGTTCCTACTTTCTTAGAATCATAGACCTATAAATTGAAGGATTTTTGGAGTAAAACATCATAAGTTTTTTGTCAAGTCTTTTCGATTCACATCTTATTAGAAGCTGATAACTTATTTAATCCATTTAAATGCAAAATTCAATGTTCTAATTATAATTGAAAGGATTTACTATTATATATGAATATGAATTAAATTTTCAAAGTCTTGTATCTAATACAGAAAAATATAAAAGCTACTAACCTCATGCATTTTCTTCAGCTCATCAAACTCTTCTTCAGTCTTCTGTTTATCTAAAACAGCTTTCTTTTTCCGATCAGACAAATGCTAAAATGGAAAAAAAGAAAATTGTTAAAATATTCTTAAGTAAGTATTAATAATAATAACTAGCTGCAAAAGTAGTAGTGTAATACCACACTAACTTGAGTAAACGCCCAGGGGCATTTATTGTTGAGAAGGGTTTTTGAGGGTTGTATATTCGAGAAAGGTGCTTATTTCTTTTGGGTGTAACATGGATAAATATATGCTCAAATAAACACCCTTAATTTCAATGTAAATGTGGAACTACAATGCATAATTTCTGTCAAAATGAGTTATTGCGTGATCATAAAGACTTACTGATTTAACCAGGTTAGAAAAAATGTAATTCTACTGGAGTACCACAACATGTGTTGAGAATGATGTTTCTTCCATTACATTTCTTTACATTCATTTTAGGGGAGGGAGTGTTTATTCGAGGGAGGTATTTATTCCAAATGAGGCTCTAGAGGGGCGTTTATTCCAAGCGGGGCATATATTTTTCAAAATACAGTAAGTTGATGAAACCGGTAGCTCATTAGAAACTAGTCATAAAAATTTATAAATTTAAATAACACAAGCTTTCTTGTCTCACATTCGCCTGAACAAATGAAAAGCGTGTACAAAGGCTCGGTTAAATATTGAAGTTAACACTCTCGGTTTTTGGTGACTGATGCATTTACTAAACATAGCATAACATAAAATATAAGGGTTGGTTTACCTTCTGTAGGGTATCCCTCTCTGATTTAAGATCAGCAAGTTCTTCCTCGAGTCCACCTATTCGATTTTCTAGTTGTTTCCTTAATTGTTTATCATCCTTAATAACTTTTGATAATTCCTTAATCTTTGCTTCATCTCCTATAGAAAAAAGTAAAACCCTGAGAAATGTTACTTTATGGTTTTGAGTTTGAGTCAATAAACAGGTAGTATCTCATAAATTACAGGGAAAACTTAGACTAATATGGCCATCCAAACAAGTGGTATATACTGTACTTGAGAGAAAAGCCTGCAATAGTGTATGCAAACCTACACATATATAACTACATACAGAGCAGTGCATGCACAAATTGTAACTAAAGAATGTTTTTTATTTTTCCTTTTTCCCTGAAAGAATGTGACACTAGTACGATTTTGTTGGTTGGTTGGTGGGTAGTGTGTGTTTCATGAATGCAAGCTCCCTCGAAGTAGTACTAAGTTTCTTACTGCATTTGGTGAGGGCAGGGGAGGTAAAAAAGAAGACAGCAGAATGCCCCTGGGTTCTGACTCTACACAATAATGAGAAATATACTGTTACCAATAGTTTGAGCTTTGCAAGACTCCAACTCATTCTTGAGGTCGTCCGAGGTATGTCGCATGGTTATAAGGTGCTGTCTTAGCTGTGATTCCTTCTGCTGGCAGCTGGCTACCTCCAGCTGAAGCTTGCTAACTTTGGCTGTAGAGTTACTTAACTCAGTTGTCATCTGAGTCTAGGTTAGAAACAAAGAAATGTTATAAATAGTATAAAAGCCTAAGAATACATGAGCACTTGACAGGTTAGCCTTGATGTTTTTTTATTTTTTATAGGTATAAATTTGTATAATTCAATTCAGTGCACATTTGTTTATAACTCAATAGCTAAGGGCTAACACAGATGGAATAATGTAAAAAATTGTCATTTTATCTACTATCTGCACTGTATGGTTTCAAGCTTGTCAACCTACAGTTGTGGATCCAGGAATTCAAAATAGAGGGATCCAGCGATGGGATTTCATAGATAGAGAGTCTAGACCACCTCAGCCTCAACATGGCTGGCACATCTTTATGGCTGGAAATGCCACTCTCAGATATAAACTTAATTATATTTTGGCCTTTTTCTCCATTTAAGTGGGGCCTAGGCTGGCTCAGCCACACCCCTTTGAATCCGACACTGACCTACAATGTAGTTTCACAAGCACTTACTTTTTCCTGTTCTAGTTCTAGAACCCTTGATTGCGACTGATGAGATGACTGTTTGAATGAATCGTTCCTTTGCTCCAATAGACTATTGCTCTGCTCAACATATCTGCAAGATTTGACAGAAAATCTTTATAAAAAAAATGGATGCAAAGACATAGGAATATGGAAGATGGAATTTGTTAAAACGATGGAAGAAGAAAGGATGTTAAATATATTTAATGTTAGCAAGTCAAACTAAGTTTTTGGCAGATATTTTGCATTGGTATATATTTACCGACAATAAAACATAATGCACAAAATGATAATGTTTGGCAGCTCATGCTTCAAATGGACCTATCTAGAGTGTCAACCAAACACAATACACTCACCAATCAGAATGGGCCAGCAATAAGTTTACACTTTTGTTTTGTGGAAAATTAGCAACAATATTGAAGGGATAAGGCTTAGCAGAAAGGTCCATCACAAATGACATAATTAATAAACAACATCAACCCTGGGGCGGATTGCTATAAGCAGTCTTTAGACGGTCTTAACGGTTAGCCGGCTATAATCGTGACGTCATTACTGGTCTATGATTATAGGCCATTGCTATACTGCGGTCTAACCAGTTAGCTGTCTAAAATTTTAAAGCCTACTCGGAGGAGGCTTAAAACGGTCTTAAATCATTTTCATCATGGTGTTCTGCTGATTAATTTAACAGTGCAATGGCAAGACCTAGGCCTAATCGGAGAATCAAACGACAAATACTTCGCACACTTCTCAGCGTCTATAAAAATAGGTCTACAGCCTTTATTTACGTTCATTTTGATACATTTGTGTGCGAGCACGCATGACGTCGTCCTCAATCTTACGTTACCAGGGAGTGCTTGCTTGCATTTCAATACTGAAAGCGGTCTCAGAGAAGACTGTTTTATAGCAATGGTCATAGAGGAATGACTTTAGTAAGACCGTATAAGTGATAAAGCCGGCTTTATTCTAGGAGTTAAGACTACCAGTTAAGACCGTTTTATAGCAATCCGCCCCAGATGATAAAAAAATAAGTTTCTATGAGGCTTGAGACGTGATTGTATTCTGGACCTTGAGAGTGGAAGAACAGCATTTGAATATCGAAACACAGTAGTTCATCAATTCTACACATAAAATATCCTCCTCAATAATCTAGTACATTATACAGTGACAACATGATAAAATCAATGGTCACAATGGGATAACCTATGAACATAATTAAATACAAATATAATTATTATTCTAACATATTTACTTTAAGTATCATGTGTATTATTAGAACTTGGGAAGCTAAATTACTGTGCAGAATGTATAATAAAAAGGACCAGCATACAATAAACACAAAATTAATCAGTAGTTATAATGTCTTTATAGAACTACTGAAAATTTGTCTTTGTTTTTGTGACATATTGTAATATATATTGAGAAATTTCACAGGAATTTTGGAGTGAGAAAAAACCTAATTAAATCAGGAGTTGAACTGACATGATTCTTATTATCATTATTTAATGATTATATTAGAGAATACTGGGCAAGACCCGATAAGAGATACCTACTGTAGACCAACAACATTACACTGAAAAGCAAGATGTCATACATAAAGTAATTTCACATTTAATTTGATAACAATTTTGTAAGGAATACTGACAGATACAATCCCCAGGGGTAGACACTAACTCCTGTTGGCAGAAATAACTTTCAGACATTAACCCCAGGGGAACACCATGGAATGAAAGGGGATGCAGACTATACAAACATCCACAAAATAGACACAACATTTATAGTGTCAAGCAGTGTAGCAATTTCATATTAACACTGCTCAAAGAAAATCAAAATACTGAAATTTACCTTAAAGATATACTGTTTGTGAAGTGAATGGTCTTATAATGTCAATGGGGCTATAAAATTGGACATGTTTTGTAAATGGCTAGGAAAATATGTTTCAATAAATTCTTTTGAATGCTAATAACTAAAGGAAACGTTTTTTAAAATTGAATTTTATTTGTTCAACCTATTTCGCCCCACAGACAGTATATCTTTAATTATTTAATTATATTCGCACAGGCACATCTCCAATGGTGCATGAAGTATACAGTACAGGGAAATGCATTCCGTGCAACATGATAATTCCATTCTGTAGGAATGGCATGAGGAGGGTTAGTCTTTGAAATTAACATTGGTTCATGCAAAACTATGTTAAAGCCCCATTCCCGGCAAAATTTCAGTTGTTAAGAAAAATCTTATACAAAAATTTTTGTATAATGTTATAAAGATTTATAATACGGAATTGCTAGTTTAACTGAATTTAGACATTCCTAAGAATGAAAAAAATGTAAAAAAAAGACTGAAATTTGATTTTTTGTGTTCCACACAAAAAATAAATGTGGATGAATTTTTCATGTTTGATTTTGCAATAGGTCGTGAGAAGAAATATCGTAGGCACAGAAAACATTAGCCTATCCAACGCTGCCAGGCTAGGCCTAGCCTTACCTCTATTTAGGTTCTGTTATCACACATAAAAACAGCCGACATGATATTTTCCGTTGCTAGTATTGACACTTGTGAAATATAATATTTCATAGGAATAATTTCAAATTTGTTAAAAAACTGATTTTGACTGAGATTTCGACACTTAAACAAACATATCTCAGACTAATCGGATGACAGCATTGTGCGAGATGCGAAGTACAAAAACTCATTAGAGAGGGCGCGCTTTATTGACTGTATAAAGTATACATAAAAGCGAGAGTATTCCAGTGGATGTGATCTACAACCTAACCTCTTAATTTGCCTAGTAACGATGAATTTGTCAAAAAAATGGTAATATTTTATGAGAAATAGTCTATATTTCTCATTTTTTTATTCTTTTGCGTAAAACTAAAATTCATGCCAATATTTTTCCATGATTTATAATAATTGGAGTAATGCAAATGCATATTTTCTAAAAAGAGTCAGTTTTTAGTGAAATTTTGCCGAGAATGGGGCTTTAAATAGAAATATAACATTTAATCAGAATTTATTTTTGAGAAGATACAGAAAAGGTTTTTTAGATATTAACTACTATAATATATTTAAAATTCAACTTAAAATAGTGATAATAACAATAAAATAGAGCACCAAAAACAACAACAACAATAATAATAAAAATTATAATAATAAAGATAATAAGAATAATGAACTAAAGATACATTTATAAACATTAACAATAATAATGATTAATCTTACTAACACCAATGTAATTTAAATACTACCTCTCAAATAAAACTCTGTCTACACTACTGTACCAAATTTTCTGTGATAAAAGAATGGTTGTATGCCCATATATAGTCACGATGTGACTATATACGATCCTGGTGGAATGTCATCATGACCATATTTAGCCATTTGATAGTGTGGACAGGGTTAAAGGTTGAAGTGGGTTAAAGCAGTACCTTTGCTTCGGTCTCTCAACCATGAAGTCTGGATTCAAACACTGAATGAGCATTTGTTTTTTGTCCTAGGGCAAGGCACTACATCTACCCTTGTTTGTCTTCCCCAGGTATATTTTAAGGAATATGTGGTTGGAGGTAACTGATTTGGAATACATTGTTATTGTTGAAATAGCTACATAACTAAGAATATACCTCAATGAATTTAAATTTGGGTAATGCTGAACTGTATAGTATGACTACAAATATACCCCAAAATAAGGTTTCACAGTGTGTATGATTGATTCAATATTCAAAAGCCAAGAAAACACATCACATAGAGATTAAGGTATTGTGTACTCTATAAATATAACAAATAAATAAATACCACTCTGTATATCAATCAATATTAGGACAATATATAAGTGTAAATGTTATTCATATAATATTATTAAAGAATATGTTGTTATATACATACTTTCTATATTTTTTTACAGGCATTTTAAACTATACATTTACTTCAATTTGTTTTTTAAACTATACTTTGGAGATGATACTTGAAAAATAGAATAATAAAGAAGTGGAATTTCTATTCAACATGCATTCAAGCAAAGGTAAAACACTACTAAACATTATTAATGATACATACACAGGTAGTGGGAGAATTTCATAAACAAGGCACCTTTAAAATTAATTCAGAATGAAAACCAAAACAAACATGCTGAGAAGAGAACTAAAAGAAAACTCTACCTGTCACATTCACTGGAAAGAAGAAATTGAGAAAAAATGAAATAAAAAAATAATAATCCTAAATAAAATTTGTTTCAGGGGTTAGGGAAATAATGGAATATCAATATATAGCTCAGAACTAGAAGTTACACTTTAGATTAACAATTTTTTTTTTCTTACATGTTCCTTAGGTATTTTTTAAGTAAATAAATAAAATTCTAATACAGTATTAATAACATTAAATCATTTTAGTAATTTGTAATTTTAGATTGACAAACACAATGTTCAATTTTGCAAAGTGCGATGATGGGGCACTTGAGGGCTGGCGAGAAATATACAGAGTAGTAACTTTCTCCAAAAATGTTGTGCTCCATGGATGGGAGCTTGGGTTGATTAAGCTTTCCCTACTCTTCAGGGGTACTCTATGTTATTCTGCATTAAATTACGTTTCTTCACTTACAAATAGGATTACTCAAACTTATAAATGATAAATGTTAGCTATTTATTTTTCTTAGCTTTATGAATATTTTAAATATTTCTATTATTTTGATTATATAATGCGAGTTGTTGACACAAGCAGCATGGGTTGGATATTATGACAGTTTAATTTACTGATTGTGATTCAAGAATAGAGGACCCCAGTAGAAACCATATTATCATGGGTCTGGGTACATCCATTAAACAAGACTAATGCAAAAGAAAATAGATATTTCAATCAAAAGTAATTAGGAATTCATTCCATGCTGAACAAGAAGTCACAAAAGCATTGACCTAGAAATTGAGCAAATCATGAAATACAGGCAATCTTGTTTGATAGAAGGAGAGTGAGTTGTCATTATTTATTATCACATGCCTATAAACAACCAAATCATACTTCTTTTTTTCAAACATTTCTTTAAAAGATGGTCTGTAGGGAAAAAATAATAAATACATTAAAAAACAAAAATATTTTAATATAAGCCTAGCTGATTTTATTTGATTTTAACTAAGTGAATAAACTAATTGACTATCACCCATTTATTCAGTATTCTTTCTTTTATTCTCTCATTTGCTATTAATTCTTCAAGAGTGTAAAACCTTGACATTTTTATAGATCGAACCATAGACATTATGGTTTGGAACTAGGTACCAAGACAACAGAGGTACACTACCATTGAACCTTTTAGGAGTGCCAATCAAACTTAGGGCACATATAAAAAATTGTTAGATTATCACTTCCGTCCGCGTCAAAAATTTGGGAAATATTGATGCGGGAATAAAAAAAATTTTTGTTCGCCGCATCATTTATTTCAACAGCAAAAAAGAACAATGTGATTTTGTGACTGGAAATACATTTTCTTTAAAAAACAATAAAATTAAACTAGTTTTCATAAATTATTTAGAAAATTCTTGCCAAATAAAAACAGTTCCTCCCTCATCAATAAAAAAAAAACAATATTCTATTGTTCCGATTTAAAAAAAATAGAAACCACCAGCTCTCATCACTTAAAAAAAAAAAAAGAGTGATAATCTAATAATTTTTTTCTCTGTGGCCTTAACTGACCAATCAAAACAGTGCAAGGAATACACAAGAGTCCATCAAACCCACAGGTTATCCCACACACCCACACACACATGTTTACGTACATTTTATGCAATTGTTTTGTGGGACCTTAGCAACAATATCCAAGGGGCGGGGCTTAGTGGAAGATTCCATTCTGTAAAGAGCTATTATAAAATTTGGATCAAAAGATGAAAATTAATTAATGTTTTTGAATGAATGCTAGATAGTGTTTCATGTCGATAAAACTATTAAAAAAAAAAAAATCTACATCTTGATCATCATTTTATGATGCAACAAAGGTGTGACTATCATCCTTAGTCACTAAAGGTAGTAGCACCCACTTCTGTTTGCCTATTTTTAGAATCAAAATGCCTGCAGTATTTCATTCAGTGGATACATTGGAGAAGCAAACTGACAAAGACAAAACTTAACTTCTGACAGCAGAGGAAGTTAAGTGATTGCTGAAATGGAAATTATGCAAAGCGTAAAGTTGACACCGACAAACATACAGACTCAACCATGAGTAGCAATTTTTTACGACTAATGACATATTCAATTTTCAAAACTTTCAGTATTAGTGGGTAAAGTTCAGGAGTGTTACCAATATAAAGACATAGAGAAAAAAAAAACCAAAAAAAAATGTCATAAGACATTTTGTTATTACATAATGGGCAGTGCCAAATTAATACCTACAATTTGGTCATTGAATTAATGTAAATTGACTGTTTCATAACATAAAATAAACCTACATTTTTGCAATCCTTGATTCTAAAAACACCCAATTTTACAAAGGCATAATTTTACCCTTGAAAATCAAATGTTCATGAAATAATTTATTTCAGTATTTTCTCTATAAGCCGTAATTTGAACTGCACATGCCCATATCCAAGGTCAATCGAAATAAACCTGTGTATGCAGGTGTATGTTTGTTTATGTCGATCAACCTTGATATGGGCATGCGCAGTTCAGATTCCCAAATGGCTTATTGAATCAAAATAATTATTTGTTGAAACTATTTTATGCACACATTGATCTACTTATGTACTGAAATATCCATGCTTTACCAAACGTTGCCAAAGAAATTACATTAAAAACATTTACTATTACAGTAGAACAAATTTTCTCTTCAGCATCATTTTGAGAATGCTCTGATACTCAGTCTAAAACTTAACATGTGAAAGTTATACCCTGGTATTTTTCATCAAATTAAAAAAGCAGCAATATTTTTCTATAGCTATTGCTTTTGAGGAATGAAAAAAATTATGGAAAAGATGTACATAAAAATAAAAATAAATACAAATAATTTATGATCCTATGACTTACTTTTGGTTGCGTTGGAGTAATTCAGATATCTTATCGTTCTGGATTTCAATTTTGCTATTTTTATCGTAGAGTTCCTTCTGCAGACGTTCATTCTCTTGGACAATTCGCTGGATATTCTGCATCAAGATGTTGCCTTCCATGTGCGGGACCGATGACTCTAGCTCCTTCTTGAACCGGTCGGTGTTAATATGGTCAAGCTGGGGAAAAAAAATAAATAGGAAATTGTAATTAGTGAGATTACAGGAAAGCAGCAGAAAGACAAGTGCTACTAAGCTTTGAATTGTAGTTAATTTGTTTATGTATCCCTTTGTTACACCGTTTGGCGCAGCAATTGAGGCTCAAAATCTTAACTTCGTGGTCAGAGATTTCAAAACTCTGTGCAAATCTCTTAAGTTCCTGGGAAAGATACTTATCTGCAATTATCTCTCCCTAACAAGGGGTAAAATAAAGGGGTACAAGTATATACAGGGAAGGTAAACATACTCGCTGTGAGGAGCGACGATAACCACAAAGCATTGCACACTCTAGAACAAAACACTTGCGAAAGATGGATGGGCACTCAGTCCTATAAGGGTTTGACTACTGTACCTTTACTATTACATTACGGATATTCACTATTACAATAAAAAACATTTAAAATACTAAATTATTCATTTTTTATCACACAGCAAATATGACCAATTGCAACATACAAACAATGTTCTACTGTATTTTAAAGATTCAAGAAATTAGATGTAGGCCCACAGACAGGCAGCAGGCCGCCGAGGCCTCTCCTACTACTAGCCTAGGCTAGTTATAAAAGCATCCCAAGATTTTCACCTGTCTGCACTGACCAAAAAGTTAGTGACAGTGACTGTATTCTCTCTCGAATGCTTTGAAAAATGTTTATTTCTTTGACGAATGTGAAAAATTATAAAACAAGTTCTTATAACACAATACAAATTACAAAATAGCCTAGTTATTCATCGTATCCATACAGTACTGCTGATGTGTAGTTAATGCATAGGCCTACTTGCAGGAGCACAAATCAGCATACGCACAAAATATAAATACGCACACAGTATACTGATCATATCACTATAGCAACCAATGACTGGTGCAACCCAGTTGGTTATAAAAAATAACATTAAGAGACGGCGATTGACTTATAAAGCACTAGTGGAAAATTATTATACTTAGGTTTAGATTCAATGCATTCAAAAAATTCCCTCAGGAAATTTTTTCAAGGATTAAATTTAACCTTCGTATAATAATTTTAGTTTTGTGTACTATACGGAGCTCTACTAATTGCTTATTACAAAGCTTAGGGAGTGGAGTTGTTTACCAGGGTTAATAATATTTAACAATGGTGTAAAACAATTGATATTAAATTTTGTTAAAATATGCAAATATACATAAGGCATTGATACATAAACAGATGACTGTTTAATATTTGCATATACTACTTCTTGAATATACTGAGAAATTAATTAATACAAATCTATATTATTTGTCAGCATCACAAAATTAGAATTTTTTTTTATCTTTAAAGATATGAATCACAGGATATTATAAATACACGAGAGTGGAAGTTCATTACAACCTGGGAAATCAGGTCACAAGATTCTTCACTACTCATTTTTTTATTTAGTAAATAATTTAATTCCATCAACCTAAGTGGCTAATTAATATTGATAATTGTAAATGGCAATTTCAGAAGAGTTTACTTATAATTAAATGACTAATTAATATCTATATTTGTGTTAATGTTGATTTCATATTGGAAAAAGATATTTCCGGTATTTAATTAAAATAAATAAATTAATTAAAATATAATGTAAATGACACTCTTAATTTAAATATAAATATTGAAGTGGAAAAATGCATGTCTAGTTTAGAGTTGATGTTTATCATTTGTACCTACATCTGACAATATACAGCTAATAAGCAATTTCATTCATAAGGGTTAATTTATAAAAAAACAAACAAATATCATTTAGATATTAAAAACAATATAAAAAAAATAAAATTATAAATAATTTGCTCTTCTTCCAACACTGCCCCTTACAACAGGATCAAGAAACCAATAATTAGGACACCTGTTGTTATGGCCTAATTAGTTAATCTTTTGAGGAAATGACAAGGAATGCGTTATTACCTTACTGGAGAGACGGTCAATTTTCTCAGATACCATCCCGATGGCGAGCTTCATGTCGGAGTGGCACTGCCGCGTCTCTGTGATAATGGCTGGTGATTGGAGGTCGGATGGGACCATTGAAGGTTGAGGGTAGACACCGGTGTTGAATTGACCTGGCTGTACAAGATTAGGCTGGGTTTGTTGAGGCTGTCCCTGGTAATTGTAACCAGTAGAAACCTGCGGATACTGTGATAACAAGTTTTTTTTTAAATTAACATCAGATAAGAAACCGGTAAACTTGAATGACAAATTTTTAATCACACTTTCCTACAATTGAATCTTATTGCTTATTTAGACCGTACTGGTCAATTTTGTATATTTAACAATTTGTTCTATGGATAGAAATTTTTGTATTAATAATAAATGAATGAAGGAATAAATGAATGAATGAATAAATGAATATGTACTAATGATAAATCACACAGGTCTTATATTAATTTATTTTACTACATATTTTAAAACCAAGAAGAAATATTAAGTACAATAACTGAGTATTATCCAAAAATATGTATAAATTAATAAATCATTTTTTTCTTTTTTAGTTGATGCTTCATACTCAAGAGTATAGCAGTTTGCAACTGCAAAAAAGGGCGTTATAAAAATATATTTAAAAATAAGTTGTAATTCGTGCTAAAATGAGATAACTACATTATTCATTATTTCCTATTCCTACAAAAATGTGTGAAAAACTTAATATGGATATATGCAAATGAGCAGAAGCGATCCAGTGTGTATGGTTATATGATTCAATAACCATTTATATATTACATTAACTGCAGGCTCAGACTTGGGTACTGTCGGTACCTGCATGTAACCATAGGGTGGGGGCTGCGTCTGAGGTGGTTGCTGGGATGGTTGCTGTGGCTGTTGCTGCTGCTGCACCTGGGGTCGTGATTGGTAGATGGCTATCTGTTGTTGATGAGGATGAATTCCTGAAAGATGAAACAAATTCACTGTTAAAAACATATTTACTTATGCTACTCAGCATGAAGATAATAAATATAGAAATACAGACATTGTTTATAAGTTTTATTTACATATTAAATAATCTATAGAAATCAATATATTACAATGTAGTCATTAAAACAGTATGGCTACCTTTGAAGATATAAGTTATAAAACTTTTCAATTCAACTTAAGACTAGATGAAATTCTTCCAAATATACATTACATATTTGCATAATTCTTTGGAACATAATGATAAATATCATTTTCCTTTTATGTGGCATAGACAAGCCAAACCAGTCACTTGTCGCAAAAATCGATATTGAGTTATTAATACAGTGTAAGAGAGTAAAATAATAGCTATAAAATGGTTAAAAAATCATTCAAATCGGACATTTCCTTATGAAGTTAGAGGCATTTAACCACACAGCTGTTTAAAGAACAATATATGAGAAATTAACCGTCAAAGTTTATGATTTCAGGCATTTCTAATGCAGAAACTATCTTTAAATCCTTAAAAAGTATTGTTTTAACATTGAAAATGGGGAAAATAGCAGCATAGAATGATGTGTAGATATATAAAGGTTAGTATAGTGCAATAAAATAGATTTTTAAAAATTTGACATTCCAGCATGTTTTGGCCATTTTCTCGGAAACGCGATTTGCGACGAGTGACTGATTTGGCTTGTCTTTGCCACATATGTTTTTGGTTGGCTGGCGTGAGAAGATATCTAGCAGCAGCTGTCACAGGTTAGCACTCGCAGGGCCTAGATTGATGTCAGACACTCGCCAAATCTAACAACATTTTACAAATTCTCATGTTGTAAACGGTGCCACTTTTACACTGCCACCGATTGTCAGTGATTTATTGCCTAGGGATAATTTCTCTAATTTCAAAGGCAATGACATTGAAATCAAGCACTTTAATTCACCGGGGACATATTGGTCAGGAGAATTACATAAACCAAAGGAAACACTAGACAGCAACTGCTGTGGTGATGACTTTTCATTTGGTAATAGTCCGCACTTACGGTACAGCTAATAGCAGATTACTCTTATCACCTCCCGCTATCAGAAATCCCAGAAGCCCTCAAGCCCCATAAGGCCTCTGAAATCTAGTTACACCATGAGGAGACTTACCGTCATGAAACCAATCATTCTCGTACATGGAATCATCTTCCAAATCTGAAATAGTACCCATAATTTCTCCACAAAATGGATTACTAACTCAGAAACTTTTACATGTCTGTTTTTGCAAAACAACTTGATGTGTGTAATCTACACACGACTAGTAAATCCACAGAATAATCAAGCGAAATACACACTTCCTCTATAATCAGCAAAGGACGTAGATACATAAACTTGAAAAAGTTGCATTATACTTTGTGATATTATACGGTACCTTGATTCAAACTACACTCCAGACATAAAGTTGCTTGAATAGCTGACTCAGAGGCCAAAGATCAATGCTACTGAACATAACCACAAAGGCAAGTATTGGACAATCAAATGTTTTAAATGTATTCTTGCTTTGAATGAATCATCCACATATGCCATCCTTCTACAAAATGCAGTAACAATTAATTTCTGACCAAGTAAGTCAACACAATTTTTCATACCAAGGTTCTTATCCAGTGGCGAATCTAGTAAATTGTGTAATGGGGAGGGAGACTATGGGAAAGTGAGAGAAAGCTAGCTGGGGGGAACAGGGCAAGAAATTGTGAAGTTTATCATTAGAGTGTTTTTTTTTTTTGGGGAGGGGGAGGGGAGAATCCATTGGAATAAGAGAGAATCTTCTTTCGTAGCACCCAGCCCCACCGTTCCCCCTCTTTTAGATACGCCACTGCCCCTAACATTTTCTAGAGGATGTACTACTAAACTATTAATTCATATATTTGATAATTTGTAGAGCTAAGTGGGTGCAATGAGGGATATCACAAGCTAATAACCAAGGAACACAAAATGTAGGAGACCTCTGAACTACCTGGACTAATCATTTTGAAAGTTTATACACCTCAAGTATTATTTATTTACATAGAGATATAATAAGAATACTAGAGCGCTAACTGCAATGTATTCAATGTTCGAAATACAGAGCTGCGTGTGTGTACCATCCAAGATGGCTGCCATAGATTCAGCCAATCAAATTTCACAAAGCACTATCATTTTCAATGGCACCCTCAATTTACACAGAAAGTTCAGTACAGCTAGCTACCTGTATGTTTGAAACTCAAGCGTTGTGGTGTATGGTGTAATGTACACGATTTAAATTTTTTTTAAATTTTTGAATAAGATACTCTACTTGGCCTCTTTTTGGCTACGATAGTTCAATAAATTGTTATTATCAATACTAATTATCATTAATCAAATAATAACCCGTCAGAGGGCTTATTTATGGTAATAATATGTATACTAAGCCTGAAGGTGGCACTTTCCTACGGCGGCAATCTTGGATGGTACACATACATAACTCTGCATTGCTTCACCATCTTGTCAGCACTCTAGTTGTTTAATAGCTCTATGTTTATTTATCAGTTATTTATATCAAGAGAGCACCTGTTTTAAAGTAAACTTTATAAATAGATTTTTTACTTTGGTAATTAGGCATAGAATCTACCATATAGAATGTGGCAATGTCTTCGTTCCCTTGGGGAATATCCCTAGTCACGCATATAATCTATCAGCACTAATAAACTTCCTCTAGTCTATTTACATCTTACCAGTTACCCATTTATGCTCCTGGATGAAAAAATAGATGGGATACACAAGCAGTGTTTAACCAGCACAGGAGTACAAGTCTAGGGAGCCTCCCAGAAATCAGGACGGTCTCCAGGTCTCCTGCACTCTCACAAGCAAGAAAGATCTCCTGGAAAATAACCAATCTCCCACCAAATTCTCAATATGTGCATGTGTTTACCACTACCATTATTAATTGTCTCACAGAATGCAGTGCCAATTAGTATATCACCATGCACAGCAAACTGAAATTAGATCTGTTAAGACTGCTCGTTCAACCAGATCTCCAGGAAGAGATTTCTTTCAACTTGGGACCCCTGAACAGCCTTAGTCTCAAATCCTAAATCCTGTTAAATAAATAAAGTCAAAGCTTACCGTCGCTCCAATTGCCACTGCATACGTTAACTAACTTGCAACATACAGTACAGGAGAGCTACTCTAAACTCCTTTTCATTTATTAGGCTTAGTAAGTGAATTTTCTTTTAGTAGTGAGAAAAAAGAAAACATCCTCTTCACTTACCATGCATTTGTTGTGATTGGTTGCTCAAGTTGGTTTGTTGTCCATGGCTAAGTTGGTTAGGATCAGGCATGTGACCATTCCTTGGGACTGGCTTGGGTGCTCGAGCTGGCCGTTTATTGACTATATGTGACGTATGCCCGGTCATTTCAGCCGGAGAGTGTTCCTAATCGGAAATAAAAAAGACTACGAGATTAGAGACCCTAAAAAACACATGCTTCATCTTTTCTTCTATTTTCCTTCTCTTTTCTTTCTCCTTTTTCTAGCTACAGTAGAACCTTAATGTAATCAACTGTTGACACAGACTTGCCTCAATTCATTCTAGAGCAAGTGTTTCCTCAAAGCAACATCAATAATACAGCTCTACCTTCCTGATTCTAATTTTAAATACTGCTGAGCAAGTTAGTGTCGATCTCTAGGGGCAACATGTTTATCAACAAAACAATAAATGCAGAAGAATAATTAAACAATATCATATCCTCTATTAAGATTTTTCAGAAGAAATGTTTGACACAAAGCTCATAATATGTATGTAGAATACAGATATCAGTTCTGTAATATTTCAAACATCTAAATGCTAAAATGTGAAGCATAGGTACAGACTGCTCCCAGACAGCATGGTGTAATATTGTTAAAGCCTGTCTCCAAAAGCAATAAAATTCTGTCATGACAATCAATGCATTTCTATTTTGAGTTAGAAATATTTACAGTTTCTTTGTTATTTTGGACAGAATTTAGTTAATAAAAAAATCAAATCTTGTTTGTTTAATAATATACATTTTATGTGTAATTTTACTGTAGATATTGTAAATTTACTGTAGGCCTACTTCTTTTTATTTAATTGAATGCAACAAATAGATACACAAATGCTAAAATGAGTAGTACTTTGTTGTTGAATGTTTTTCCAAAAGTGTCAGTTTGATTCCTGAGCTATGATTGGTTGGGCACTTTTTTGCTTCGCAAAAAGTAGAAACAGTTCAAACTACTGATTTCACTGAAGCGAAAACTCGAATAGAAATGTGAATGAGCATGCCCATGAACCAATCCTTTCGATTCACCTGAATAAGTTTGCCTAGCAGAAGACAGCCTTTAGACTAACCATGGAGGAATAAAAATATTTTATTCTTCCATAAACAAACTTAATCGAAACATGAGCTTTCGCTAGCTCAAGATAACTTCTTTATTCAACTGATGAAGCTATTAGTAATACGTATTAGTCAAAGTACTATCCATTTTAATTTATTTTTTATATTTTTTTATAGATTATTTGACTAATATGGCTCCTGTTTATATATCAGGTTCCAAGTTAAGAAAAGTCATGTTTGGAAGAAGTCAAGTTCGGGAAATCTTGGTTTGATGAGATTTAATATGTATATTGATATGCGTAGTGGTAAGCCATGGTCAGCTGATTTCAGGGAGACATATGACAATGCAGTAGTAAAATCATGCAAATATTATGCATTTGTAGGAGATAATTAGTTTCAGAAAGAATTTTGCTTGTTTGCAGGAGTGCAAAACACAGCATCGTTTTTCTGGGAGACTCCTTTGACCTGTTGTATAATAAACATTTATTACTTTTGTTTAAATAAAGAATTATTAGTTTAGTTTCTTCAGCATGGTGTATTTTGTTATAATATATAACTTGTTGCATACTTGTTTTATATTATCATATATTATGAATATCGCAATCACTTCCTTGAAGATAAGAACACTCCCAGGAATGCAAGCTTTATCATGTCAAAATATTATAATCATTATTATTTGATACATTTGAGCCCCACTAATATGATTTAATCAATAAAAAACATAATATTTTATTACTTTTACAACACGTTATCTGATATTATTGTGGCCTTCAAATGCAGAGGTGCAAGTGACAGACTTGGAAGACAAGTACAATATACTTGTATAAGGATAGTGTTTTATCAATTACATTATTCTTAAAGGTACTATAAAATTTACAATTTTTATGATGGGCCATGGAGTTATTATATAGTAGTAGACTACTATATATTAATCTACAATAATTCTATGGATGGATATAATCAATTAATTTGATATTACAAACTTATCAATGTCCTTAGTAGAATATCCATGACCTACAAAAATAAGGTTAAATGTAATCTTTTTTATCAAGTACTAATTCAAATGACCCTCCCATTGTCAAAATCTAAATATTTTGGATCTATCTTACATCAATTCTAATTTTTAGGAAATGTTATAATTCCAAAAACAGTAAAATATATTAAAGGAGTATTGACACTGTAATAATAATAATATATGGATATTGTTTTTATCTGAATATGTCATAATAATACTCATTTTTTAATGCAATTATACAAAAACAGCAGCCACGTGGCTCAATTGCACAGCACGATAAGTTACAAAGTTTTAACTATAATATAACTTTTCCAAAAAAAATATTCAAAACAACATTTAGAAACTATAAACTTACTATAATATAAGAAATTACAGACATTATATGTACTGATTGCTGTAAAAAAAAAATTGTTTCAAATTCAATCAAAATTTATTAAATAAAAGAAACCAAAAACAACACATTTCTAACATTGATAAAAACAATTCTGTTAATTGGGAATAAGTTGTAGAATCTAGGAGCTTGTCTTAATAATTCAGACAGGACACAAATTTAAATGAGCACTTGGAGAAAAATAGTTTAAAAAAAAACTTTTTCCTTCTGATACTTTATTCTATTACTCTTAGACCCAGTTATACTTTCTTGATCATCTTCCGGTACTGTGCATAACCTCAAATAGAGTATAGCATTAGTAGAAATTGGGGTTACCAGTAAATAGGGGGTGGTGGGTAGTGGGAGGTTTAAGGGACTTTGGTACCCCATCAGTTAGGCCATCCCCTCCCTCAGCCATAATTTTTAGAGTAACATGACCATAATATCATTCAAATAAAATAAAACAACTAAGTAATGAAAACAATTTATCAACAATTGTGCAAATGTGTAGAAGATTACGCTAATTGTCAGGACACATCGAGTGATTATTAAATACAAATTTCCAAACACTTCAGACAGAATGTTTTTCTCGGAACAGTGAACATTTTTGAGAAGCGTGTTCTACATCAAATATCATGCAATGCAGTATCCTTTCAACAACACAAAACTACAGTCATAACATTAAAATCCACGCCAAAAAACAATAACATCAATTAACAATATTACATTTATTATTTATCAATTTTAAAATAAATGATCTATGTACAGAAATTATACATTTAAATTAACATATTATTTTGCATGATTTATTGCAATGATTAATCTAATAGAAACCGATTCCCTCCTGTCACATACATCATTTGGCCTTGAGAAAACGAAAGATGTGAATTGCAAAGTACATTAAATTGGCATTGAAGCAGAGGTTTAAACTTAAGCCACCAATTAAATTTGAACAGACTTTTTGGTCAAGGTACTTTCTTGTAAATGGTGTAGTTTCTTAATACCTAAAGGTACAAACATTAGTTGGTTTCTATGGTCATGTTGTATCATTCGATCAATATGTAGGACTTAAAGGATTTATAATACAAATTATACAAATTATATTTTTTAAAGTATTGTATAAACTGCTTGAATCTATTTGTAGCCCAATGCATAATCTCCCATACTGATTTGATCTTGTGGGTAATATGACGTACACACAACAGTGGCTACTGTATTAATAATTTAAGAGTCCATATATTACTTGTGTTTGAAAACCCCACAAATTACTAAGACCCCTTCTAGTTAATTCCTTGAACTATTGGTTTAAATTAAGTATTTCCTTAGCGAAAATTAAAGGCTCGATCAAGCAGATTTTTTTAAAAATCAATTCTTACAAACGTTTTGATACTTTTTAGAAGACAAATATTACCAAAATTCTAAAAAACGATGTATTAAACTTTAAAAACACTCAGTCTCTTTTTTAAAAATCCATTCAACCTTGATTACATTTTTACATAACAGTTTTCTGATACCTAATAGTTTTGCGCTCTAGATATTTACAAATATTAACCATCTCATAATTAGCTTCTACATTATCTAATAAATAAATGAGTATCATACAAGACAAATTGTTTTTTTTTTTTAAGAAATACATTTCCTTATAAATAGAATGTTATGTTTTTCTTTAGACAAAAAAAACTAGCAAACATTTTACAGTCAAAGGCCATTAGCAACATATGAAAAACTTCAAGAAGAAAACCAATAATTTTAAATATTTATGCCACAATAACTTTTAATGCTTGTTAATATTACATTGAATCACTAGATTGATTTAAACACTAGATTGATTTAAGGTCATAACAAACACTCACCTCACTAATTTGGCGCTTATTCAACAAGCCTTAGCTTATGAAAAAAAGCTTTGCTACCATTGTATAAGCTGATTTCACACTTAAAGATTGGATATTTTTGTAAAATTATTGGCTTCTACACCTGGATTTATGGTAGTATGAGAAGTTACACCTACCACAAGACTTGCTTATCCTACACCAGTCCAGAAAGGCTTATTAATATTAATTTTTGAACATTGCAAGATGGACGCAAGAATTTTTATCAGAAACCTATAGGAACCAATCTGACATTTTGTTGAGTTTATTGTTTTAAATATCTGTCAGAGCTTTACCTAAATGGATGGTGTGAGGCTGTCCAAATATATGCACAGACATGCATACCTCCCTGAAGAAATCTGCTCAGTGACTATGTGATTATCATATGAATAACATAGTATTTGTGCACTGAAGAAATGAGAATTAGGACAACATACGCACATCTAAGACACTGAAATGCATTCCATCTACAGTGGCATGCAGAAATGACCTGCAAGTAGCAGAAAATTAGAAAAAACTGGGTAATGATTCCTACCTCTACATCTGAATCTGTGCTGTCTTGGCCTGGAGTTGATGACAGAGGTAGCATTGGCTGGCCCATCTTTGCCATCCTGGAAATCAACTTAGCCTTGTTTGGGCCTGGGCTCTGTGATGGAAAATTAAAATATGGTTTATTAACCGATGGGTTAAAGCTAAAACTCTTCTTAACTGGTTTCATCGTGTCCATTGGCTTCAAGTTGATTCCTTGGTAGATGTCCGCTTAGCCAAAAATTATCTTGTCCTTCGCATAATGTTGAGTTTGATGAAGAATTTCTTGGCACTGATTATCAGTAGCGTGATTTCGAACAGGAAATCGTGAAACATCGCAGAGTGACTCAAACTAGTAGGCGCCAAATTCACATGCATACAATAATGCTACTATCTTGTACTGGAATTCACAGCGTAACATAATTTAGTAAATGTAAATAGATGATATTTTAAGACTTCTCTATTTTTCTCTCCTAAAAGTATACATGTATGTATGAGGTATATACAATACTGTGCCAGGAGATACTAGCATAGGACTTATAGATCTGGAGGACTTATGATGAAATGACTTGTATGTCTGTATTCAATTATCTGTAAATATGTTAATATAATTTTTTGTCACTTGCATTAGACTCCTTCCTTCCTAATAACAATGAATTTGCTATTGGTTGTATGTCAAATAAAATAAAATTGTAAGTGCACCAATTACAACAATAATACCTAAAACCAAATAAAGGTATCTTCAATGTCAATATATTTAATTACTTAATGCTTGCCAGTAAGTATCTCAAAAAGAACAATAATGCTCTTGTTAATGGAAAAGGCAATATTCACATTGCTATATAAGAGTTATATTTAGCCAGGAATATTGAGCAATACTGGCATCATATCATGCACCAATTTATAGTCTCAATTTGAGAAAGGACTAACATAGATAACTGTCTTGATTAAGGACATAATGGATGAAGTGTGATTTGATCCTATGACCTTACTGTTGAGGGCACCAAATTCTAACTTGATATCACTTGATAATAAAATTAACAAGCCATTAATATGTAGTAGCATTAATAAGTGTGACACTGAACAAACATTTAAAAAATTGCTTGCCTTATTTTTACATATCAAAAGTAATTCCTCTTAAAAACCTCAAATTAGATTCGCCTGTTTAGTTAGTTGTAATCCTTGGGGAGCTGCACCCACTTTTTGTAAACGTTGCCCAAATATTAATCAAATTCCAAATATCTCAAAAATGATCAGAACTGTTGTACGGCAGTGCAAATTGTGTGCAGGTTTAGGATGTTTACTGTATATGTTAATAAGCATTGCATCGCTTCTTTCAGTTACAAAGCACATTTACAGGCTTCTTGATCCTGTTAAGAGCTACTTTAGAACACTAACCTAGCCAGAGAAGAATCAGCACACTGAAATGACAAAGCCTATCGAAAACAACATAAGCTTTTTATTATATTTTTCAAATAATATCAGCGCTGGATGGGAACCCACAGTATAACAAATAGTAGTTCAACAAAGGGTGGGTGATCACCTTGGAGTATACTCCAAGGTGATCACCCACCCTTTGTTGAACTAGTATTTGTTATACTATGGGTTCCCATCCAGAAGCAACTAAGACCATCATAATTAAAAAACCAGTATGACCATCATAATTATGATAATGTCACTTTGTATGAGAACAGTAAAGCTCAGTTGGCTAAACTGGTGGTTGTGACGTAACAGTGAACCAGTCACTGCTCGGCCTAGTAGTACTCTTGTCCAACTACAACAGCACACAGTGCTTCTGGGTATGTTCATCAAGTTGTCCAGGATTCATTAAATAACTCTATGGTTAAATTATTAAAGAAATTCTAGAGTTTTGTAATAGAGACCTCCAGTAGCATCCTATCACAGTACTCTAGCATTCATGAATGTGTGCCTGAGTTCCTATATCTACAATTTATTTAGTAACCCTATAATTGCCTGAGACTTTCGCAGTCAATTGCTTAATGAGAAATAAACTTACAGTTGATAGATGATCTGAGGAGTTTGACTGCATCTTCATGTCGTTGTTGCTAAAAAAAGGAAAAATATAAATATTATAATGTTGTAGAAAAGAGTGAAAGGTTTAGAGACTGAGAGTCCTGTCCTGATTAATTTAAAATACAAAATGTTGTCCGTCCCTGCCTGAATAATTATTATTATATGGACAACAATTATTAAGGAGACACATTCCAAACCAAAGTGTCCCCTTATTATTAGTTATTAAGACATACAATATGTAATCAAGCTATAGTTCATTTGAACTTTTGAACTTCCATCTGTTGTAATTTATTTTTCAAGATATAAAATTAACTTCCTTTATATATACAAAATCATCATTTTATTAGAAGTGAAAGTTTAAATTTGAAATTATTATAAAAAATAGCATAAATATTGATGTAGAGTAACTTAATATGAAAGAAAAAAATTATCCGCTTACAATTAACTTTGGAAGTTCACCTCATGTAAAATAACACATAATTCACACGAGACCACATGTTACATTGGATACTTGCTGAACAAATTAGCAAGGTTCCCCTGCTACATCATGTCTGTGTGAAGGCACATCCATGTGAGATTACCATGGGTTGTTTGTATAACACCCATGTAAAAAATAGACATTGAGGTGGGTGTACCACTCCCAAGATATTACCATGGATCTGTGTGCATTTTCAAGCCTATTTTTATCCTTGGCTGATGTACTCTGTACCTCTACTGCCTGCCTAGGTATTTTTCCCATATGACATATAATAAATTATCTTAAATCTGGTTATACTTCTTTTGTTACTGAAGTGTATATATGATATGATACAAATAGTTCCTTTTGATGCTCAACTCAAGCATTGGTATAGTGACCATCCCTGCACTTGTGAGTTTTCATTGAACTCAATAAGATGGGACCCCTTTTGATCTCTAGTTAGCAACCATTTGATCTCCAGCTAGCATAGAGGTTGTCAAGAGATTTCTTATATTTTCAGCAATATTGACACGTTTGCTAACTAGATCAATTAAAAAACCTTCTGACAAAGTTACCTACTTCGACAAAGTAGGTGACCTGTATTTTATTAGACTGCAAACAATTACCGGCCCCCCCCCCCTCAATTTTGAAGGTCATTTTAAATTGTACCTCTATTTTGGAAAGGTTTGAATTCACTCAAATTATGATGATCTTGGTCCCCTACTCTTTTCCAAAGAGTGTACTGCTTTCTTTAATATACACATGGGCCATATTGCACACAGGACCAGCACTTAAACATCTCATCCGAAAAACTGTATGCCATGGCTACTTGTATTCTAGCCCTCCAGCTGAAACACAAGAACAATAGATGGAATTGAACCGGGGACCAATGGATATTCACAGTTCGGTGCACCAACTGTGACTACCATCAATTTAGCCGTCTCAGCTAATGAATATTATGAGTAGTCTCGGCAAACATTTAGCTTATGTAAATAAGGCTTGGATGTGGTGGTTAAATAAAAATAAATTAATTGCCATTGTGGAAGATAGTCACAATTATGAATCCACAACACATTGAATGCTTACTTTGGAATGCTGAGGCCAATAGGTTCATCAGGCAGCGCCCTCATAGGCGGATCGATACTCTCAGATGCAGATGACAACGATCCTGTGTCATCACGTTCTCTTCCGAACTTGATCTGGCAATATTAACAGATAGCAAAAAGTTGTATATCATAAGGGGGAAAAATAGATAATCATGGTACAACAAAGCTGTACAATTGAAGTAATTGTATTAAGAAAACCCAGTTTTTTATAATTTTGGGTTCATTAGGTCCATAGCTGTCTCTTATACCTGAGACTTTCGTAGTCAATTGGTTAATGAGAAATAAACTTACAGTTGATAGATGATCTGAGGAGTTTGACTGCATCTTCATGTCGTTGTTGCTAAAAATAGAAAAACATAAATATTATACTGTTGTAGAAAAGAGTGAAAGGTTTAGAGACTGAGAGTCCTGTCCTGATTCATTTAAAATACAAAATGTTGAATAATTATTATTATATGGACAACAATTATTAAGGAGACACATTCCAAACCAAAGTGTCCCTTATTATTAGTTATTAAGACATACAGTATGTAATCAAGCTAAAGTTCATTTGAACTTTTGAACTTCCATCTGTTGTAATTTATTTTTCAAGATATAAAATTAACTTCCTTTATATATACAAAATCATCATTTTATTAGAAGTGAAAGTTTAAATTTGAAATTATTATAAAAAAAATAGCATAAATATTGATGTAGAGTAACCTTATATGAAAGAAAAAAATTATCCTCTTACAATTAACTTTTGAAGTTCACCTCATGTAAAGTAACACATAATTCACACGAGACCACGTGTTACATTGGATACTTGCTGAACAAATTAGCAAGGTTCCCCTGCTACATCATGTCTGTGTGAAGGCACATCCATGTGAGATTACCACGGGTTGTTTGTATAACACCCATGTAAAAAATAGACATTGAGGTGGGTGTACCACTGTATTTTATTAAACTGCAAACAATTACCGCCCCCCTCAATTTTCAAGGTCATTTTAAATTGTACCTCTATTTTGGTTTGAATTCACTCAAATTATGATGATCTTGGTCCCCTACTCTTTTCCAAAGTGTGTACTGCTTTCTTTAATATACACATGGGCCATATTTTACACAGGACCAACACTTAAACATCTCATCCGAAAAACTGTATGCCATGGCTACTTGTATTCTAGCCCTCCAGCTGAAACACAAGAACAATAGATGGAATTGAACCGGGGACCAATGGATATTCACAGTTCGGTGCACCAACTGTGTCTACCACCAGTTTAGCCGACTCAGCTAATGAATATTATGAGAAGTCTCGGCAAACATTTAGCTCATGTAAATAAGGCTTGAGTGTGGTGGTCAAATAAAAATAGATTAATTGCCATTGTTGAAAATAGTCACAATTATGAATCCACAACACATTGAATGCTTACTTTGGAATGCTGAGGCCAATAGGTTCATCAGGCAGCGCCCTCATAGGCGGATCGATACTCTCAGATGCAGATGACAACGATCCTGTGTCATCACGTTCTCTTCCGAACTTGATCTGGCAATATTAACAGATAGCAAAAAGTTGTATATCATAAGGGGGAAAAATAGATAATCATGGTACAACAAAGCTGTACAATTGAAGTAATTGTATTAAGAAAACCCAGTTTTTTATAGTTTTGGGTTCATTAGGTATATAGACAATTTTCTAAAAACTTCTAAATTACAAGTGAAAGTTAAGTTTGATATATATATGATAGAGATGCAGGATGTGAAATTGTCCTCTCTTTTATGTGTGTGAGTTTATAAATTTCTTATTAAATAAACAACCCTGGATTATCAAGTAATAAAAGAACAGAATGTAATAAACTTCCCCACAAAAAATAAGAAACTTAGAATTCAAAGACTCCATATGAAATACTCCATACTCCTTCAATTATGCTTTGTTACTTGTACTGGTTAAACAAGGAAAAATTAAAAAAAAAGGAATGATAAAAAAAAAAAAATAACAATATTGTAGACAATAGGAATAGGAATAGGAGTAGTTTAGTCTCATTGTTATTGTTATTATGATTATTTTTATTTTATTTTATTGTTACTGTTTTATTGTTATTTGCTTTTTCTCAGTTGGCCTATATTATTTCTCTGTAAAGCGCATAGAGGCAATGTGCAATATGTGCTATATAAATACAACATTATTATTATTATTAATAGTTGGATAGAATGATGTTAACTCGTTATGCATGTTTTGAACAAAACGGATATTAATTAAAACTAGTCATAAGGAGAAAGAGGCCTTCATCAAAGGAGATTTTAGGAATAAGGAAGCCACATAATAATCATAAAAATGAAACATAATAAAAACAACAATAAGCAATCTCCTTAGTCCCGTAGAAATTGTTTTGATCTTGATTTTTTATATAAATGTGTTAATGCCCTGTTCAATTGTAATTTAGTCGCCGTCTCAGAAACAATCCTAGGTTTTACATTCCTTTTTGTAGAGTTAATGTTTTAAAAAATGGTTATGTTTGTAGTCTAAGTCAAAGTTATAATTCCCTTGTTTTAAAAAATCCTGAGTTAGATATTTTCGGTAATGACTTTCGTATGTTTCGTAATATTATTAGTAGTTCGGTTTAATGTTTGATGTATTTCTTGTATTGTTCGTTGTGGTTTGTGTTCCCTCCTGTAAGTGGCGAACTTTGTGTTTGCTGTTGGTTGGGAAAATAAATAAATAAATAAAATGGTAATAATAATATTGCGATTGTTTACTTTGTTACATATTTGATTTTTTTAATTCCAAAAATTATATAATAAATGTTAAAAATATGAGAATGAATCTATGTTATTCTAATTTAGAATTTCCGAAAAAATAAAGATGTAAAGATGAGGACACAAGCATATTCACGAAAAGGTTAGAGAAAGAAACGATCAACATTTCCAGAGCATCATTTTGTGGGACCTTAGCAAAAATTAGTAAGGGGCAGAGAGCTAGTGGAAAAATTGTAGAAGTGGTCATTGTTGGAAGAACCCAGACCAAAATTGAGTGCCTTTAAGTGCTAAACTGAAAACTCCAGTGCTTAGCCTAAATTTCAACCCTGCATACTTCCAAATAATACGGTACTGAGACAAGCATTGATTTGGACCCATATCCTAGAATTAGAAGTTAAGTGCCTCACCACTAAACCACATAACATCATATTCAGCAAATTACCTTTTTATAATTCCCAGTGATCCATGATGCAAACACACGAATCATGAGTATTTTTCCAAGTATCCAAGCCAGCAATGTGAACAAAAGTTATAATAAGTATTGTCCAAGAACTCGCAAGCGCATTGATTAGACAAAGTCAACAAATTTACCAAGAAAAAAAATCTTATCTTCCTTCCTGAACCTCTCCAAGAGGTTGTTGCTATGGGTGACAATTTCGTATAACCTTCATTCACATAATTTGATCCAGAAAGCGAGTTTGAATCAACTAGCTAAACTTTTTCGATTTTAAAAGTAAATATATGAGACAATTTAAGGGACACTTATCCTTACATAACAAGGCGAGTATAATGACCAGGGGGAATCATTTTCCTGTTATTATTATTATGAAGTAAATCATTTTCCTGTTATTATTAAGTCTGAAAAGATTTTAATCTATCATTATCTCTGCAGATGATTTTATTATTGGCTGTTTGTATACCCTTGCCAACTGAATCCATAATTAAATATGGCAGTTTGGCAGTACTCCCAAAGAATAATAATCTTCAACTTAATTTTATTTACCTTGTACCTTATCTACTTACGTAACTGTATTCAGTTAAAGTGGTATAGTCTATGGAAAGCAAAACTTGCAAATACTTAAACTAGGTTTATTTATATGAACAAATAATAAAACAAAAAGTAGAGAGTATAATGCCCTATATTTTGACCTTAAGGAAATTATATTAGTGAAATTTTGTAGTTTAGGACACAGTATTTTTACAAGCGCTTGTAACAGGGGATGATGGAAACTTATAGCTTATAACTTGGAAGCAATGCAAAATTAGGTTCCACAAAATTGTAACCACTCCATAAAAAATAGGCTCCTCATAGCAGCACAAGTATACTGCACAAACTACAGTAGGTCAAAATTACTCTGAACATAGTCCATTATCGGACAAGCTGCTATTAGCCACTGGTCATTTGACAAAACGTAGGACCAATTACCAACTCCCTGTTGCAGCTACATTCACACTGTAATTGGCATACCTGTCAAATGAAATGAACTCAAATGAAACTTAACACATTCCATTTTACAAAAAAATTCCACTACCTCAGTACATCTGCACCAGTGTAGTATACTAAAAAATGTTGATGTCATATTTGGTTGGCTTTAAAGGTTTTTTGAGACCAAAGTCATAAGGCATTAAACTTTTTACCACACCTCCATCAAAGTGTGTAAGCCAGGAAGGGTGTAGTCTGCATGAATATTACCCCTAGCCCTGGTTTTACAGGTGGCATTTATCAGAGTCTGTCCCTACCCCAAGAGATTTTATGAAGGCTATGTCCGAGGAAGCTCACCCTGATCAACAGACATATAAGGGAGGGATCAATCACTACTCTGGAAGGCTGTCTGCTTGCATGTCATTATTTTAATCATCCACCATTAAAGCTATCAATCAACTTAACTTGCATGTGGTGGCTTAGCTATAATAATTGGATTGAAAATGTTATGCCTGTCTAAAAATTCATGGTCAAATTAGCATTACACCCACCCAGACTATGAAATTATAATTCAATTTGCATATTTGGAATTATGGCAGTAATTCTTAAAAACATGCCAAGAAATAATACTGGTCCTGCAAAAAATTACACCCAAAAAATATTAGTAGTGAGGTCAAATGATTTGATATTAATAGTAAAACTTGTTTAATATAGGATACTCCTGAATGTCATGTTTCGACGAGTCACACGTCAACATCAGGTAATTGTGCTTGGCTACTACTGGCTATTATATACTGCTGGTCAGATGTAAAGCAAATAGTAAAACACTAAGGTAAGTCATGTATATTAGTAGCTGAATACTGTGGTAAGTCATATACTGTATATTAGAATTAGAATGCATGTTTTTTTGTAATCTATCCCACGGACTATCACAGGAGACAGATTTTTCTTAATATGTCTTGAAAAATGACTGGTTAAAGAGGTAGTTATACACATCAAAATACTGATAAATAAATGAATGTGATGTACTTGAAATTGCTTGAAATTTTTTTTCTAATATTCTCCACTAAAATCTTGTCAGAAATACGTGTGAATGTTTTAAGTATCCCCAGAAAGTCTATCTGGTTTGTAAAATTCTAGTGCATTTGATTATGAAATTGGTATGAATAAAAAGCCTATGCCACATAAAATATGCATTTGCCTTTTTCTGAGCATGCCCAGAATGGTCACTGATTAAGAAAGTATCCTATCCACCTTTCAATTCAATTCAAAAAAGTTTATTCAACAATATTTTAAAAGGTGGTGAAAAAAAGAATTGCTACAATTTTACAACTACTGTACAAGTTAAATATTAAAAGCTTTAACATACAATTAAATAATTAAATACAGCAACGATATAAAAAGAAATTAAAATTTTAAGATATTGATAACAAATGCAGGTCAAGATGACAAAACCACCATAAATATAAAAGCACACTACGTGAGTTCAATACATTAAGAATATAAACTGTTGAAGGGGTCGAATAATTGGATTATATTGTGCGTATGTTGCAATATAATTGACGCTTAGAATTCACATCCACATCTTCTGAGCATGCTCAGATCTACAGTTAACGGAAGCAATACACCCACCATTGCATAGCAGGGCAAAACTGATCAGATTACTTTAAAAAAATTATCAAATAATGATAAATTCTTAGTAATTTTTACCCTTATCCTTCGTGCATCCCAGGAGGGATGAATGTCAAGGTGATCAGTGACGGAAGTCTAAATGTACTTCCTTCCTTTGTCTCTTTTTATTCTCCCTCTTTTTCGGCCAATTAAATTGCTCATTCTGGCAGATTCTTTAAACTTAATACTTTTCAAAAATTGTAACAGTGTTTTTTTTTCTACTTACTACAGATATGGTTCCAAAATATACACTATAACTTCAATAAATATGTAATGGATGGTATGTAGCTTAATGGTATATGATTCGTTCCTTTCAATCCCCCCCAAAATGTTCAATTTCTGCAAATATCAGGTTGCTTAATGGCTAAAAAAATATCTCTACAATACTACACCTAAAAAATAAGAGTAAAGGATACTGGTCCTGTAGCAGTGCCAGCAAGGAGTCTGGTAAAAATTCCCCTTCCTTGAAACATGCATGGACCCCTCCCCTGTCATTGGACACCACTTGAGGTCTGATGACAAATGCTGCCGTGAAAATACACAGCTTAGGATGCAACACAGCAGTTAAAATAGACTGAACTTTGCATTATTAATAAATGCTCCTTCAAATTATTAGATTGATATCGGGAGTACACAAAATCTTAACCATGACCTCCAGTAAATATGAAAGCAAACTTGTTACTGGTTTCTTTCAAGATTGGGGCACAGTCAGTAAAGCCAAGTTTCCATAAAATCGCTAGAGCAGTCAGCGAAACCTGGTAGCGTTTTGTATAGAAGCTCGATATAGGGATCGCAATTTTGCCCAAGATTGTTTTCCTTTTAAATTGGATCCACAATGTTTCATAAAAATGTTCTCTGTAAAACTCTTCATTAAAAAAAATGTGCATACATGAATAAACATAGTGTAGAGTACCCTGTGATTATCTACTCAGCAATACTATATTCATTTGCATAATTATAATAGTTGGAGCTTGTCATACCTTTCGTATCTCAATCTCAAATATGAGGGTTGCATTTGGTGGTATCCTGGAGCCCATGCCTCTTGAACCATATGCCATGTTTGAAGGTACAACTAATAAACGTTTACCACCTTTCTTCATACCAATCACACCTTGGTCCCACCCCTATAAATACCGAAAATATAATTTAAATTACAAGATTATCATATTACAATTCTGCTCATCCTTACTACAACCATCTCTACCACAAATTACCACCCCCAACTTCATCAGCATTCTCATCAATATCGCTATCATCAACACCAACACTACCAACATTGAGATAAAGTCTATCAAAAAACATACAATTCATTTAAAACTAAATGTAAAATCAGTTTCTTATAAGTTACGTAACTTTTACTATGAAAATCTATAAATTGGCTGTAAGTTCTATGCAAAATTACAGGAATACATTATTATTTAAACATTCGTTAAAACTAACAGCTTATTGAAATATAAAACATATGCAATTAATTTTTTAAATTCTATTTTAAAGAATATTAAATATATCTTGTAGTACATCTTCAACATTAAGTATTAATGTTAATTAATTAATGTTAATTTCTTAAAGAAATCTAGATAGAGAATATTAACCCTATTTCTACTGTATGAGCATGTACAACCAAACAAAACGCAATGTTGAATTTTTTTGCTATAATTATATTTTATCTCTATAACCTCCCTTCCTGTACCAATTTTTTAAACGGATTCAAGGCAATATAGATTATTGTAATGCACGAATCACTCAACAATTATGAATGTCAAGGGTCTGATTTACCCACTAGTGCATTATTACCCTAGAAATCAAGTTTTTTTTACCCTAGCAGATGAGTAAATTAACCCCTAGCAGCTGAATGATTTACCCCTAGAAGTTTCATAAAAAAAATTTGAACAGCTGACTGATTTACTCTCTCCCAGGTATGTTATTTCTTTGAAGGTAATATATACCCTAGAATGTGAATGATTTTCCCCCCTTTAGCAGCTGGGTGAAATAACCTAGAAGTTCAGCAAAATTACCTAATTAGAAACTGATATCCCTTAATTTACCTTTTAGCAGTTGAGTGAGTTACCCCCAAATGCAGGCTGATTTATCTTCTAGCAGTAAGTACATTTCCAAGCAGTTTTCTGATTTACTCCCTAGCAAATGACTCATTACATAGCAATTAGTGAATTGCCCCATAAAAAGTCAATGGACTTACACCCTTGCAGTTAGAATTATTCCCTGGCAGTCAAGTGAAACCCAATATTCACTCAGTGAATTAACTCCTAGCAGCTGGCTGATACGCCACCTAGCGGATGAGTGAATTTTCCTCCTAGCGGATGAGTGAGTTTTCCTCCTGGCAGTTGAGTGAAATACCTTCGAGAAGTTGATAGATTTAAGCCCTAGTGGTCGAGTAAATTACACCCAGCTGATGACTCCCTAGAAGTCACATAGTATCATTCACTACCAGTAATTTGCAACTCAAGCACCTCATGCTAGCCAAAAGCATGCTCATCTTGTACCTTAACTTCATCCAATTACAAATGCCTGTACTCATCCTACAGCTATAATCTTCCTCAACCTACAATATAAAGCTGCCCTCATCCTACAACTTAAAGCTGTCCTCATGATACAACTAAAAGCTGTCCTCACCCTACAACTTAAAGCTGTCCTCACCCTACAACTTAAAGCTGTCCTCACCCTACAACTTAAAGCTTTCCTCACCCTACAACTAAAAGCTGCCCTCATCCTACAACTTAAAGCTGCCCTCATCCTACAACTTAAAGCTGTCCTCATCCTACAACTAAAAGCCACCCTCATCATACGACTTAAAGCTATCCTCATCCTACAACTAAAAGCTGCCCACATCCTACAACTTAAGGCTGCGCTCATCCTGTGACTTAAACTTTACCCATTCTTCAACTTAAGCTGCACTAATTCTTCAACTGCCCTACTTAATACTGTTAACAAAAGTTATGCTCATCATGTCCTTACCTTAATGACCTTTCCCTTGCCAATCTTAAATCGAAATGCCTTGTCCATTGTCATGTTACTATCAAATGCCTGTGGAAAAGTAAATAGTAAAGAACGCCAATTATCATAAAATTTATATTATATAATAAATGATTTGTAGAAAAGATTTATGTTCATAGTCACCAGTAAGAGAAACAAATGTTATATAAATAATATAAAAATTAATAATAAAATACATTAAATTAAAAAGAGAACCAGCCAAGTCACCCCCTCACAAAGTAACCCCATATCAACTAACCCCTTACAAACTTGCCCCACCAAGAATCTCGTCCCTTACCATGTATGCAGAGGGAGACATTGTAAGGGGGAAAAGTTGAAAGTAGAAATGAGTTGAAAAGGGGAATCATTGCTAGGGGGAAACTTGACTGGTATTCTTTTTTTAAAGATAATATTAACAATAATACAATATCAGTATTAGTAAGTCTTATTTTTTTTATAGTGCCCTAATTCTTGCATCGCATGACACAGTGAGCTAAAATACTAGTACAATTTAGATATTTTTTAAATAGTTCTCAATAATTTACAGGCCTTTTATTACAAAATTTACAAGTATATGCAACAAACATTACTGTTATATTTTTTGTCTGCTAAACTGATGGAAAATATTTTCTTTCTTTTTTTTTTAATTTTAAAGCTATAATTAAGGAATATAGAGTTCATCTGATTTACACAATGGTATATCTCTAACAAAACAACAACATTTAAATTCTGATTAACAGTATAAAGAAAGTTTTACAGTATTTTCGAATCTTCTAGTCTTCTATCAATTACAATTCATTTTATTATATTTCAACCTAGTTTACGAGCAAGTAGACACTTTATACTATTGACTACTAACTGTTCCTATCGCTTTGTTTTCCAGTAGCCACCCTGTGTATTTCACTTCCACTGAGTCGCCTTCTTGCAAAGTTGGTCCCTGGCCAAGCCGTAGCTCTTGGTACACCACGTTGTTCGCACTCCCACCACTTGAGTTAAATTTTGCTAGACCAATCTGAAATAAATAAAAGAGCAAAATATTAACTGGTGATAGTACAATTAATGCAAGGCATTAAGGCAAGTGTGTTGGTAGGTGGATATTTTGCTTTTAAAACCCATGTCATAAGTTTAAATCCTCTATAAGTTAAGATATTCATGTCATAACTGTATCAGGTTTAAATTTATGGATTTAACATCTAGTGTATTTGTGTGTTTAAAAATAGATTTTTAAAATGTTATTATAGTACTCAAATTTGTTTTAAGCCTGTGAGAGGTGTTACTGGCAACACAACTACTCAAAATACATTGTATTGGAGAACCTGTGAAAAACTTAATGACCCACTGCCAAAAAAAATTGAAATATCTATAAAATATAATATAATGGAAGCAATGCAACATAGTATATCTCTAACCAAAAAAAAAAAAACATTTAAATTATGATTACAGTATAAAGTTCTGTTTCAAAATCATTACATCAAGTACAAATTCATTTTATTTTATTTCAATCTATTTTACAAGCAGGCGAACACATACTATCGACTACAAACTGTTTGTATTGCTTAGTTCTGTAGCAGCCACCCTGTGTAATTGACTTCTACTGGGCAAACATCATTCATAATGCAACATAAGTTAAGAAAACAGACAGAACATTTGATACCAGTATGTGAATTAAAGGGCATACTAATCAAAGTCAGTATTCTTCCTATAAAATATTGCTAAAAGATGGGACAAAACATTATTTGGAACAATATTACCTTTTGGGCAAATAGGACAACTGTTGGAATAAAAATATTCAGGAAGCTATTGAAATTAAATTATGTACTCCACCATTGAACAGAGATCGTGGTTATAAGTTACAGCGAATATGTAATTCCCTGTTTTCACATGTCATCATGAACATGTATGATCAGGTGACAAAGTGATAGCGTATGAAAGCATTGCAATGTGACATACCTCATAAAGACACTATGAAAGGCAACTTACACTAACTGTGACAAATTAACAAATTTTACTGGTCTTGAGATGATTAAGTATTAAACAATTTCTTTCCAAATTTCTTTACATATTGAGAAGCCTTTTTCCCATGCAAAAACAACTCTGTTCTCATAAACATTACTGTGGAAATTTGTTACTGTTTTCTTTTATAGCTTCAATACCATGATACAGTAGTTGCTTATACTGACATGATATCCATACCTGTTTAGAAAATTCAAATGCAGAGTCTTCGCTGTCGAACATCAGTGACCAGTTCTGACGTTGTTCATCATAGAATGTAGCATAGTTATTTGCCTGGACCTGAAAGGGAAAAAAATGAGGATATGATATAATGAAATTAAATATATATTCTAACTCATTAAAACATATTTTCTTTAAAATAATTCAGAAAGAAGTAAAATATAAGCATGTTATTTCTTATGTGTTCGACATCACTCTTCTTCAGCCAGGCGTATACAAATCAACTGAGAATTGGTAAAGATGGGTTTAAATTCACTACCTGTTAACCGCACTACTATCCTGCTAGCTCAAAATTTTAGTGCCCAGAAAATATAACTGAAGTTAGCTGCAAACCTGCTTCCTAAATCTAGGAACATAGTCATAAGAACTTAGATAACAGAATGGAATCTGTACTCACTATGAATGTAGTAAGAAGTTTGGGGAAATTGGCTGCAGTCATATCCTCTATTCAAGGTACATATATCATCATATGTAGGTTATACATTTCATATGTGCAGTTTTTATTGTAAAGTTGGAAACATTTAACTAAAGTCGGCTGGAGTCATATCCTATTGGTAGATTAAGTATGCTACTTTAGTTTAATGATATACACTTGTTAATGCAAGTTGGAAAACTACAGTCATATCCTCTAATGGAGATTGGTGTATGTTACTTTGTGGAAGCTGTGTAGTGCAGCGGATAAGGGCTTTTAACTTTTACTGTGAGGTCAGAGGTTCAAGACCAATGCCAGTCAAACTGCTTGTGTGCTTGAGCAAGACACTTTATCTGCTATTGCCTCTCTTCACCGAAAAGTACAGTATCATGGGTACCTGGTAGGTGAATGATTTTGAATGAAGTTGGTATTGCACTACAAATTTAACATAATATTTGTTTTTTCTTATAATTTGCACAATTTATAATCTTTACACAAAGTTTTCATTGTTACTTTTGTACAACAGTATATTTCCAATTGAAATTGTTACTTTGTGCATACGTAAACAACATGCAAATAAAGATTGAACTGAATTGAACTCCAAAGGGAGCACGGGAGGCAGCACACTGTGTATGGTGGATTCTGTTTCCGAAGGACTAGAGGAAAAAAGCATCTTAAAAAAAAGCATTCTGAATGTGTGCTATATAAATTAAAATTTAAAATATAAAAATAATTTCAGTTCGTCCTCAAACTGGAGACGACCTTTGGGATCTGAAAACTTGGGGTATAGTCTCTGGGTTAGGTGTCCAATTAGAGGGTTAGCTTTGTGTTAAAAGATTGAAGATTGTTATTTGGTTCTTTTGAAAAAGGTCTTGAATTAGAGGAGTCTCTTCAATTTAATGATATTCACTTGTTAATGTAAAGTTGGAAACATTTACTGCAGTAATATCCTCTAATAGAGATTCGTAGATAATTATGTATGTTACTTCAATATAATGATATGCGCTTGTTAATGTATAGTGGGAAACATTTGACTAATCGGCTACAGTCATATCCTATTAAAGTTTGATACATCGTAAGTATGTTAGAAGCACATGTGGGCGTTCACATGGGCATGTGGTACCTGGGATGGACAGTCCTATTTTCTTCAAAGGGGTGTTCATTAAGAGGTACATTTGCAATAGTCTGTATATCCAGGTAAGCATCTACAAAATAATGAATTATGCCATGAAGATGTAATTAAAGGGCTTTAGTCCTATTATTTATGGTGGGAAGAGACAGTAGATCAGGGTAAGTAAATTATTACTTGAGTAAATTGAGTCAGTACTCACTGTAAATTTATATAGAGTTGGAAATAATTGAGTAAAGTAAGCTGTATTCCTGTCGTCTATTTAAATAAGGTTGGTATATCATATATAGGTTAATAGAATTAAAAATTTCTGTTATGAAGAGCTTCTAATAGTGAGATGATAGAAAGATCAGGACATATTGAGGTCATTATAATTAGCACACGATGATGCCCTCTGAATTTTAAAACATACCAGTTTGAGTGGTATACACATTTTGCTTATGGACAAGAGAGTGGGAAATACAGTATGCCCTTTGAATGTGAAGTTAGAGGAAATTAAACATAGTTGGCTGCAGTCATATCCTCATCAACTAACCAATCAAACTATCACTCAATCAATCAATCAATCACAATTTATTGAGCAAAATAAAAATTACACATATTTAAATGCTTAAGAACCATGAGTTTCTATATCACATTCTACAATTTAGGTCTTCTTCTTCTAAAAGCCAGTACTATAATAAGTATGAAGTTTTAATGATTACTTACAGTAAATTTAAAATTTGGACAACTGACTACTGTTGACTGAAGTCATATCTTTCTAATAAAATGTAGTAAAATTATATTATTATAGCAGTCATATCTTCCAATAAAAGGTCAAAAAATCATAAGTAAAGTGATTACTTTTTTATACCTTGTTGCATGAGCCCACAGACAAACCAATAAAGATGATTTTGAATAAAAGAAAATTTTCATTTTGGCCCCTTTAGAATACCCACTTCCACAAAAAAATGTAAATTTCATAAAAATATATTGTGCATTACTGAACTGTTTACATCGCAACATCAAATTTTTTTCGTCGACATGATAGCATCCTGATCAAGGGGGATCAGGGTACCCCGCCCCCTAATATTTACCTCACAAACTTGCATTTTGTTGTTCGTCAATAACATTTTGTCCTCAGTGTAAATAGTTTTGATGAAACCGTTTTGCTAAATGACAAATAATTTTATTTTTCACACTCCCCTGATAAAGAATAATGTTCACTAAACAAGGTATAAAAAAAGTTTCACTTATTAAGAAACATTAATAATGATTACTTACTGTGAATGTAAAGTTTGGAGAAATCTTTGCATGTGTAACTTGTTGCTGCTTGCTGACGTATAATAGAAGCTTGTACTGATTATGGAGAAAAAAAAACAACAAACAAAGTCATATATTTAAGATACACCATCTAACTGAATCTAGAAAAACCAAAAATTCAATCAAAACATTTGATATGATAATCATAATCAATCATAACAGATTGAACAATTAAAAAAAAAAAAGTTAATTTTTATGTATGGTTAATTGATTTAGTTTGCTTTTTGTATCTGACCTATAATCTATTTGACTGTTCAAAGTAATTTACAGTATGGGGTCGGAGATAAACCACTTACATCTGCGATTCCATGATATCCTAATATGGCTGCCCCTAGTTTTCCTTGTTTTACATACTGGCTGTTTGTGCTAAAAGAGAAAAAAAACCAATTGAGACATCATTAGTATCAATGAAATAATAATTAATTGGTGGTTGCCATGATGATAACTGATGCCCAGGTGGTACCAATAATAACAATAAAAATACAATGGTAGTGTTAAAAAAAATAAATGGTGGTATGACAGATAACAATAGGAAGGTGTAGTGGAGGTTCATCTACCTTGTATGCGATTGTTTGTGGGGCAAATGAGCAGAATTTACCCTCAAAAAGGGAGTGTTGGGTGGTATTTTAACAAGACATATTTTATGAGCGTCAAATTACTACAGTCTGTGCCAGTGAGATGCTCGCTAATGGTTGTTCTGAACTTTGAAATTTGCCTTCAGTTTTCTTTATATCCACTGATAATCGGATGCCGTCACTCACTATGCCGACAGCCGACGCGATTCTATAAGAACACAACGCCTCGACGCACGCAACGAATCCTTTTTATTGACAATCCATTCAAACTGCTATCCACAATCATCAGACAGCGTCGCGTCATCTAACGCTCACAGTGAGTGGAGTTAAATTTGTCGGTCGACAGTCGTACGATGCAGTGAGCACCCAGATTAACATATATACTTACTGCCAACCAAAATATTTTACTTACTATCTAAATGCATGTACGGCAACAGCATGTAGCACTTGTGCTTGTGAGCCTTCAGTACCACTTCCGCCTCCAGCTGTAATAAAAGTCAACAACAATTATTATTAACAGAATCAACCCCAGTTTTTTAACAAAATATAAAATTGAATAAATATAAACAGACACAAGCATCCTCTTCTAGGTTTATTCTTAAATGTTTTAACATATAAGATCAATAAACTAAAAAAAAAACAACAAAACATTTGTAGAAATTGATTTTGATGTTATGCAGGATGTTTTTACGACATTCCCATGGGCTGTTTGGTGGAGGGGGATGTCTAACAAAAATAGGAGTAGTACATAGAAGTATACTGCTCAGTTATATGTAGTCTCAAAGTAAATTTTATGAGCCTGTAACGTTGTGGCTAGCCCATCTCCGAGGTGGAATGTTATTAATTATAAATAATAAACTTGGAGAACAGTTGTACATATGGATCGCATTTTAATTGAGTCATTCGTGGGATAATGTCTGAGTGGATGACTAACATGAAACAATTTGTCTACAGAAATTTTTTTTTTAATGTTGTTTTGTTTAATCAATTCCTTTATTGTATGTTTCTTATTGAATATTGGATAAATCTTACACTACACATGCTTCCTTCCAATTATAAATGATGTCATGCATGCTGCATCACAGCCAATCACAGAATACAGAATTCAGGATGTTTGCAAATTCATAGTAGTTGAAGGATGAATGCCAGTTCAATAAATTTATTAAAGTGAGTAACTCAAACTGTCTTCTAAAAAATGTAGATAGCAGAAGACGGCTACAGATATGTGAAATGTTCAAATGTTGAATTTATCAGTTTATTGCCCTGAGTGAAATGTAGTGTGGATGGGAAATACTCTCCTGAGAGGATAAATGGCCATATATTTGTAAACGATTGTTTATGTATCCGATTACCAGGCTAATAAATTTTATTTTACATCATGCAAAGTGCTCAAAGTGCTTGGAGAATGTCAATATAAGAATATAATAAATGATGGTTCATTCTAGTTGTCGGCAAAAGAGTTTTGTACGTTTTCTTCAAACAAATATTGTAGATTAACATCAACACATCACCTCTACACTAAAATGTTTATACATAGAGAGAATATATTGTATAGAATATATAATAGAGAGAATCATTGTCATTATTATCATGGTCAGTGTCATCATCATCATCATTATTGTTATCATCATCATCATCATCATCACCAATATGATCTTTGCGACCATTTCAAGGCAGACCACTGTAACTGAACAAAAATATAAAAGCAGTTACATTGTCTTACCATGGGACAGCCGTTTGCTGCACAAAAACATTGTTTTTCAATATGTGGCAAAGACAAGCCAAACCAGTCACTCGTCGCAAAAATTGATACTGAGTTATTAATACTGTGTTAGAGAGTAAAATAATAGCTATAAAATGGTTAAAAAATCATTCAAATCGGACATTTCCTTATGAAGTTACAAGCGTTTAACCACACAGCTGTTTAAAGAACAATGTATGAGAAATTAACCGTCAAAGTTTATGATTTCAGGCATTTCTCATGCAGAAACTATCTTTAAATCCTTAAAAGTATTGTTTTAACATTGAAAATGGGGAAAATAACAGCATAGAATGATGTGTAGATATATAACTTAGGTTATAGTTTAGTGCAATAAAATAGATTTTTTTAAATTTGACATTCCAGCATGTTTTGGCCATTTTCTCTGATACACGATTTGCGACGAGTGACTGGTTTGGCTTGTCTTTGCCACATATACTTACACTGTGGTGTTGATTACAAGAAAATCTCAATAGATACTCTATTTTTGAGAGGGTTAAAATGGTTATCAAATCATCTTTTGGCTGTAATATAATTCTTTATCTTAAAATATGTATCATTGCCAGCTGAAACAAACTTTTATGTATACTGTAGATGACAATAAGAAAATGTTTAATATTTTATTTTATAAAAACAGGACCATTACAGGGCCTACAGTACTATTTCTATTTAACTATATGTGAACTTTAAACGTGATAAAATAAGCCAAAAATGGCTGAATGAAGGGCAGCCTCATAATCTGTAGGCCAATAATTAAAATGGTTGTTCTGATTGGTCAGATTGCAATATGTGGGTGTAGTCATAATTGTCTATCTTTTATGACAAAGGAAATGGAATCTACTATAACTAATTTGCATTTTCCTTTTCTTTTAAATTTATTTTAGAAGGTCCGATTTCTTTTGATATACTTTTTAAATGTACTTTAAATGTTAAAGTAAAAGAACACCAAAATCAACTTGTTGGAGAGCATGTTTCTATTATTTTTTACGCATCATTTAACATTTTTAACATAAAAAGTTTTTAAAGAATTCAAGATAACTTTAAAGTTCTTAAATATGATCGGGACACTAATAGACAACAACAAATTTCTCACTCCACAATTAATAATGTGTTCCACTCTCGAAAATGCACCTCTCTAGAATATGTGCCGCACTGAAATCTCATAAAATTATAAACGTTAAAGTAAAAGAACACCAAAATCCACTTGTTGGAGAGCATGTTTCTATTATTTTTTACGCATCATTTAACATTTTTAACATAAAAAGTTTTTAAAAGAATTCAAGATAACTTTAAAGTTCTTAAATATGATCGGGACACTAATAGACAACAACAAATTTCTCACTCCACAATTAGTAATATGTGCCACTCTCGAAAATGCACTTCTCTAGAATATGTGCCGCACTGAAATCTCATAAAATTATAAGAGAGCTGCAGGGTTGGTTTTTTTTTTTTTTTTTGGTCGTTTGTATAGCAGACACTTAAGAAAGCGACAGCATTACAGCTAACAGTAACAATAAAAATATTTTAATACTGCTACTTTGTAAATTTGTAACAACCAAGAAAGTTACTCTATAAAACTTTGGAAAGTCACAATTAAGTGTACAAAAAGTTAAACGCAATAACATTTGATTACTGATTCTTTTTTCAGTAAAGTTTTAATAAATAGCAAAATCAACAGCAATTTACAGTACACTATTAAATCTTAGTACTGAGAATAATGGTTAGGTGTTAAAACCTGCCAAATTACAGCTTCTAACCACTGCAGTAAATCCAAACAAGTCTCATACAAAGATAAAAAAAAGTACACATTTTAAATCAACCCAGTTAAATAACACAGGGCATGATTAATAATAATTGTTCTACTTTTTTATAATTGAGATGATACAACAGAAGATAATTGGTGCGTGTAAATGGATTCAAATGTAATCCTAATAGTAATATCATAATAAACTAGGCCAAGCAACCTGTAAGCTTTCACAATGGGTGCTAAGTGATCAGTGAGGTTTTTAGTAAGTAAAGGAAATGGATGAATAATGGAAGTATTGTTTAATTAGCGAAGAGAAAACATAATGCATGACTCACAAGAGGAAGAGAAATACTGAGGAGTTTAACTTAATTTTGATAGTCATCTTGAAGACATAATGGGCATTAGATGAATCTATGCTCCCAAAACAAACAGTAGCACCGCCAGACACTCACCGACCAAGTGTCCAAGCTCCCCGATGAAGGTGGAAAGGTGCAAGATCCCTCACAGAGGGTACACACTTCAGTGGCATAACTAGGAATCTTGAAATGATGGGGAAGGGGGCTGAAGGGGGCACTAAGGTGAAGTATGAACATAAAGATTAAGTGAGGGGAAGCTATCTCGCAAAGTTAGGTGACCGGCACATCCACTGTCGATGCCCAGAAAGACAGTCAGACTGTTAAAATACTTTGTTTCCTGACAAAACGACTGACTTTGTCACTGACAGAAGGTACAATAGTTCCCCAGTCCTGTTTTTGGTTGAGTCCCCATTGCTCCAAAATGGACTGATATAATAAATCCTGAAACTGGAGTAGTGCTATCTAATAATAGATATAAACGAATTCACTGTTATTGACGTGTCTGTGAAAGATGGGTCAGGGATGAGTACATACTCGCACTATTTGCTATTGTATTATATTGTATAATATAAAACTGGTCTAGAAAGGTACAAAATAGACTAGAAATAAGTACATCTTTGTTGTGTTTTTATTACATTCAACTTGGAATATTCCTACTTGGTGGCACCATTAAGAACTTAGTCATAAATATATATAAACAAATAAATAGGTAAATAGGGAAATTTTGTACTGTAGGACTACAGAGCTCAAGCCACATGTCATTCATAAATGGCTACTGTAGTTTGTTATTTAATTTCTATAATTGTCCCTAGGTACCTTACTAATATTTCCTACATAACATCCTGATTGAGTTGTAGTCTCTGTTATCAGCTGGCCCACAGACGTCACAAAATGCTGATAGCTCAAGGGAACTCTGAACCTTCATTAATATTACCCAAATTGCTGCAACATTCATATCAAGAATTGCCTATTTATAAATTATATTTAAAAAGGTGGAAGGGTGGGATGCATAACCAATTTAGATTGGTAACTTTTAACCAATTAAATCAGAAATAAACAATCTTTATTTATGTATATATTTTTTAGCTTTTGTATAGCATCATGTGTTTCTGGATCTGCCGTCTGAAATTATAATAGTACGAGAGGCAAACTTATTTAAATGATTTTAATATTTAAAAAAAATATAATTTCCCCATCTAAATTGAAACTGATTATCTTTTAGTGATATATGTTTAAGTGGAGAGTGAACAAAAATATACACTTATTCTAGAAATGAGCAACACATTGAAATAATTACGACAATAAGGATCTCAACAAGTTGCACATGCAGATACAATTGATTCTAGATGCTGGAATTGGCAGAAGAAACAACAGGATTCAGTCCAGTATTATAAAAACCAAAAAGTAAATAATATACAGTATAGGAAAAGTGCTAGCAGAGAGAGTGGGCTACCAGCTGAAAAACTTTTCCCTTTGTGAAACAGGTGACTCAACAGGAAATGGAGCTTATAATAAATGACTTCTCTCATCATTTATCATAAATATAATGATTATGTAAATTGGCATTTATCTCAAAGAATTTTGGTTGCCAAGAAATTTCAATGACCTCGTAGTTCACAATTTGTCTCCTTGGGATTCCATGAACCTCCATAATTACAACAGGGAGTCCAAGTAAAATAAACTATAAAAAAAATTCTAATTTTGTTTTAAATATAATTTTTTTAAATATTGGATGTAATCTCATCAAAATCTCTATTTTGCAGAAACTGGCCCAAATGGAATTCTTAGAACAGACTAGATGCCAGAAAAGAGGCTTTGCATACTATTTTACACTTTTTGCTTAAAATATTCTACAAAGAATTTATATTCATGATATATTATAAAAATTAAGGGACAGTAATCTACGTCACATGAGTAAACGTAAACTTGTGAAAAAATTCTTTGATCCCGCATGTATCATGGAGCTAGATATGGTTGTATGTACTCAGAATACAGTAGCTAGGAAAATATAGGCATCACCTATTACACAAATGAAGTTATTGTGGGATACCTCTTTTTTACTACCTAAAGAATCATCAATAATATACATACCAATCTATTATTTATTATTATTATTATTATTATTATTATAAAATAGACCTATATCAATTGAGCTATTGCATCCCCAAATCTATTAATTTATCTATCAATTTATCTATTAATTCATCATTCCTGAAGATGACATAATTAATGTCGAAATATTAAATCCCGACACGATGGCGTGTATTTCGATACTTGGAGTATGTATTATACTATCTTATCCGTTAATCTAATTGAAGCCCAATTGGCTTAATCTCGAGTAGAAGCCCATCTCAAATTGAAGCCCCCTCTTTAGTTGGCAAAATTATCCTGGAAAAGATTCTATACGCTTCTTTTCGAAATAGTACAGTACTTACATGATACAGATTGATTTTACAATGGCCCTACAGTATTTAATATTTTATATAATACTTTCTCAAAATTTACAGCATTCACTTTGAAAAGAAGGCCCCCCCCCCCTTTACTTTGCAAAAGTAGCTTCAAAAAGAAGCCCATTCAAAGTTCGCAAAATTTGGCTTCAATTTGAGGATTTACGGTATTTTATCCATTTATCCAATTATCTATCTATCCATCTATATATTTGCTTACCTACAGTATTCATTTATCCATTATGATTTATCTATTCATTCATATATATTAACATACCTATCAATACATCCTTACATTTATTTATTTATTCGCTCAGTCGCTTGCTTGCTTATCTGGTTGTTCATTTGGTCTTGAGCTCATTCATTCACTTGATCACTCTCATTCGTTCACTCATTCATTCCTGTATTACTTCATTCAATCATTCATATTAAAATTAAATACTAAGAAACCATGAAAATGCAATATACAACAAGCATTATAACAACATGTTATGGTCAATCCATAATATTCATGTGCAATGTGCAAGTATTTAATATCATGGTCTAACAAACAGCTATGGGACAGGGTGTTTAATCGACAGCAACCTTAATCACTTTGTTTTTCTCTGATTGTCTACATTCCTTCTATACTTTCACACAAAAAAGAACCATAGTATCATATTGCTAAACTCTATGTATCCACTCTAAGTGACTAAGTGCAGTGGTAATTAATATGGAGTAATAACAACATTGCCCCGACAATCGTGACTCCTGAGGGCGCATTTCAAGTCTGAAAACAAAATTTCAGTCTCATTCATAAGAGTGCAAGGAAAAGCAGAGATACTGTAAATGGTTGATAGTAAATACATTACATAATGTTTATCATCTTTGAATACAATATATTATTAAGTATTAATAGCAGTAGAGACCCTATGAAACATGTTTGTTTTATACTGTAGAGCCTGGCAATGACTAGGGCAAATTAAAACTCGGGCTTACACCTGACATGAGCATCATATATAAAGTTGTGAGTATTTTAAAGTTTATTATTTTTTTAAACAAAAACAAACAAAAAAATATAATGAATGCCTATTTGTGAATATGTTTCAATATTTTGCATTTTAAATACATGAACAACAACTGAAGATCCAAGGGTGGTTTGCATACATTACAAATATAATCACTCTTTATACAATATAATAATATAAAAAAATTGAAATCCCAACTTTTTCAGGACATGTATTACTATCAACAAGAAAAAAAACTATTCATATTGTGGTGTAGTTAAATTGCGGTACCACACAGTTCCATGCAGATTATGTTTTTTGACCTAAAAGGCAAATTTGCGAAATAGGATTGTATTAGTCAAAAATGGTATGCTGCCAATGTAGTTAACTAACAACCTAAACAACTGCAAATATTAAAACACTTGTCTATTTTTCGGTAAATGTCACTGATTGTGTAAAACATTACCTTCATGGACAATAGTTGACCTGGACTTGCCATGTTGAATCAAGTTTGAAAGTTTTGCAGTAGAGTATAGGCCTATAGGATTGTATTATTCAAATACTGTATGCTGTCAACTTAAGTTACTAACAACACCCTAGACAACTGCAAAGAGTAAACAGCAGTATTTTCGGTAAATGTCATTGGTTATGAAAAACATTACTTTCATGGACAATAGTTGACCTACATTTGGCATGTTGAGTCAAGTTTGAATGTTGCGCAGTAAGGTACCTGTATTAAGCCTAATAAAAAGCTGGAAATTCTGTTAAAAACCACAACTTGCACAACAATTAAAAAAATTGGCCAAGTGCAAATTTTAAATTCTTTTTAGCTTGAAAAACAATGTAATTTAAACGTTTTATCTAACTCAATTCATCTCATACTTTTTTTTAATATGGTTTTTTTTTATTAACATGATTGCAGCAAGTACCCATTGTCAATTATTATTTTTTCAATTATTAAATTCCCATTAGTTTTTGTCCACTTTCATGCAATTTAACTTTGTTGCAATATGTGGAACGTAAAAAAAATGAATGAATGGATATTAATAGGCTATACCAGTCACAGTACATTTAAACCAGTAAGAAAAAAACAAGGAATAAAATTGTAAACCAGACACGTATATGATGAGTGAAGGAGTAAACCACTTCACTAGCTTCCCTGTCAATGAGTCATGACAAATAAAAATGATCGCAAAAATTATCATACAAACCTCTTGACTTCTTCCGGAATCCAATTGGCATTTTGTTTCAATGCAATAATATTATCCACTTCAGCAAAATTCTCAATAATTATTTCCAAAATTGTGAAAACTCATTGGCATTTACAGTAAGCCTTACAATGGGCAACGTCTTGCACCATAGGAAGCAACCCCAATCCTGTACCGTCACAAATTTCTATTTGCTGTTTTCCTTTTGCTAAGGGCCTAAAACGTAGAGCGACGCGTTCACTAAAGAAGGACACAGGAGTTAATTCACCGCAGAGAGCTAGCAAATTTGACACCTGGTCACATGACTCAGAATCTTGAGTATCATTGGCTGGTAAAGGAAATTGATAATAATAATACGGCTTGAAAAGGAACTTTGTCTGATGGTTAAGTTTAGTTATGGACTGAACTGCAAACATGTTAATGTTTGCATGAGTCTGGTCGTTATAAGCATTATTCCTCTTAAAATGATGTATAATTGAATTACTCATGGAACATGTGTTATAGGAAATCAACTTGTGTAAAAAAATGAAAACAACAAATATTACATGATTCAAAATCTACTATTGATTTTTTTTAAACAATAAAATTCAATATATGACTAATTGACATAATGTTCATTGTACTTTTAGCTTCCAATTGAAAATCTAACAAGAATATATTTCCTTGTTTAATAATATATGTATAAACAATTACCATTTCCTTTATTTTTTTTTGCAAGTTGGTAATTTTGGGATTTCTTATTGGAAAATCTGTAAATCATCAAAAATATGAACTATTTCAATTAAAAATATTAAAAGTTAATAAAGTTGACAACTAATTTGTTTTCGTTTTTGTTTGTTTATTTGTTTGTTTTTTGTTTAATCTTTTAATCTATGCTTTTATAGGTTTTCTAAATTTGACTGCAGATAGCACATCAGTTTCACAATGCATGTTTAATGCTTAACTACGGTATATGTATTTTGTTTTTCTCATGGTTTATATTTCGCTACATGATATAGCTGATCTGTGATCTGAAATCTTTTCCTGGGTACTGTACTGTAATTTATAGTGTTTCTGTAGGCCTAATTATATTTTTATTGAGTTGTTGGCACCGATTTCCCTTATTTTGAAAACACACTATGATCTGTGATCAATTTCACTTTCAGGGATCCTTTCTCGACATTGTTCTTCATTTTTAAAATTTATATGGCAATAAAATAAATAAAATTAAATTGTTTATTTTTAATTATTATTTATATTGTTTAATGTTTAACTATAATTAAATATCATATGATTGAATTAATTGTTAATGTTCAACTACTGTCATTATTCAAGCATGTAGCAAATGAATATCATATAGTGCGGTAATTAGAATGGTTGATTTCTCTGATGCATTTGTAATAGTGTGTTGACCTAGATATGTTTTTGCTGTCCAGAATAATTTGGCGACCACGCCTTAGTTTCTATAGATTGAATGTTGTGTTATTAGACTTCAATCACTGGAATAATCAGTTACCATGAGTTTGAAGGGAATCGGTTACCATTAAAAAATGTTTTCATATAAAAATATTTATAAATATAAATAAAATTAATAATATATATAAATATATAACAATTTATAATAGAGGTTGTAAATGTCTAACCAATACTATGCTTACATTTGGAGGATGTTTTTCCTTTCTTCGGTTGCTTGGGGGCGGTATACTGTAAGGACTGGTTGCCATCTTGAGTATTAGCACGATCCATACCAAACAATGACCCCAGCTTTGACCTAATGATGCAAACCAAACAAAAAAAATGTTTATAAACATATATAAAACACAGAAAAATGTATTATTCCAAGGGTTTTTTTTTTTTAAACAGCACTAACTTATTTATAATTTTTACATTTGATTAGTTGATGAGAGGTCACTGTGATCAAAAATGGTTCTACTGCATGGCTGATGTCATCATTTTATTTGCTGATCACTATAAAATTTTAGTTCCAATACACACTGCCACACTAGAATAGAGGTAAGAAAATGTAGGCCTACTGTGAGTTGTCATCCACATACCACATTGGAGGATTTGATCCTGTGAGTACAGATGATCTGGGTAACAAAAAAGCTGATGCAAAAAGTAGGCACATTCATACTGTTACAGAAGATTTAGTTAAAAATTATACAGTACATGAAAAAAATTAATGATGTTTTTCATTTGTCCAATTATTATTCAGTGAAAATGTTTAACTTGTCAAAATATTCATTTTTTTTCATCACATAAACATTCTACTGTTTTCATTGCACTTTTTCAACTAATGCAATTTTTAAAATACAAAATAAATTAGGGATTAAGTTGTTCCTGATTTAATATGCAAACATATTCAATGCAAAAATAACAATTCTTCATTCTAATCTTACACATGTCATATGCAGAGCTAAGAGGGAGGGACATGCGACACTGCAAAGAATTCGCTGTAGAACTCAGAAGCAATGAGACAGTTCATTCGGTACAAATTAACAAAATTTATTCTAAGAAGGGAATAATTTCCTATATGAACATACCAGTAACATGTTTTTTTATTATCGTAAATCAAAGAACAGAGCAATAAAGGGGGTGTAAAATCAGAAATGCTAAGTGTAAACATGTGTTCGGAAATGATTAGGATGGTGTATATGTTGCTTTGCAATGGACACTACCTGGAAAGGCAAAACCACCTGTCGCAGAACAGTGAGACAGAGAGGAGAGACTAGAAAATGGCAAGTTATCAGGAAACTTCATTGTATGACATTATACTAGGGATGAAGAGAAGTAGCTTTTGCTCATAAGCAATAAAGCACCCCCTCTACAGTATGTGCACATGGAAACCAAATATTATCTGTATAACATATCCCAAATTCTTTTAATTGTATTCTGCGGATGAGAGCAGAAATAACAAACATGTTACACAGAAAGAACAGTAAGAATGCTATTAACATGAAACAATAAATCCGGTTTTACGTCCATGTTAATTATGATCAGCTCTACGCAACATTCTTTGTTTGTGAAATGTGCGTAAGCTCATGAACATGAACAAATATACCTACTTTACATTTTTTTAGAACATAAGCTAATCAGTTCATAATCAAATGATTACCGTGGAAAGTGATTTCCTGAGCAGGTTGATATTGTTAGAAGGTAAAATCAATTTGTACATGTTCTTGGAAAATATTCAACGATATTTAGTAGGAAACATAGTTACTCATAGCTTATGTCACAATTTTACCTTGTAATGTTAAATACCTGTAACATACATTGTATCCTAGCCTTAACTCATGCCATGATGTTCTCTAAATAATGATGACAGTAGGGCCTAGTTTATTTAGCTTCTGTGCACGCCAAGCTAAGGGTGGTATAACTTTGGTTGGAATACGACTGTAGTAGTAAAATATCTTTGGCACATTTGTCACCTCGATAGTCAAAGAACTTTCTAATGGTACTTTTCTATTTTAATTAAAATTAGATTATCATAATTATATCCAGCTGCAATAGAAGCAACATCATCACAACTAATATTGATGCTGACCGCAAAATACGAAGATAAAATTTCAAGGCTTTACTATGACACACGCAAACTAATCCAAGAAAACTCATTCCCTACTTTAACAAGTATTTTGACTAAAAACTTGTAAACTTGACCGATATAAACATCCAGCAAACATGTTCGTTGCAACTTTTAAGTTGAATGATCAGATGAAAGACAACTATATATTCTCTAAACTTGGCTCAATATATAAGACTCTCCCTAGAGGCATTCCTAAATCGTAACAACCTAACTTAACCAAAGGTCCCAACGGAATCTGGGAGACATTTTCCTATAAAAACAATGGGTCTCAAGAGAATTTTGGGGGATGTCTTCCTTAGAAACCAAGAGTCTCAATGGAATTTGGGGATATCTCCATTTTCAAACAAAGGGTCCCAAAGGAATTTGGGGAGATATCCTTTAGAAATCAAAAGCCTCGAAGAAACGACTTAAAAAGTATTCTGGGAGATATCTTCTAATTACTTCATTGAACTTACTGTATAGAAACTACATGACCAATATTTTAAAACCCAAAAAAATAATTAATTTTAAAATTAATAAATAAAAATATAAATAAACAATTATCTTTTAGTTGCAAGTGTACTTTATTGGTTGGAAATTTAATGCAACAAAATTGCAGTAAAATTTTCAGAATCATGAAATTGGCCCATAAAGTCATTGGATATGAAGCTGACAGCATTGATGACATATAATTAATCTGTTTTTAAGAAATTAGACATAATTAGATTTTTCTCACCCTAATGAATACATATTTAACAGGTGGTTGCCTACGCCCTAAAAAGTGCAATACTAATAGATTAAGGAAAACATTCACTCACAACTCAGTATATCCACAATGGTAACTTTCACAGATAATTATATTTTTACAATACCTAATTAACTGTGCTATATTTTTGTGCAGTTACTCATCTTATATTATTTTTTTTTAAACTAACCTCTGTATTAATTATTTGTATAAGCATCTGAAAACAAATTTTACTTGTAAGTACATATCTATCCCATATGTAACAATAAAAGAATCTTGTCTCTTGTATCCTGAATGACAGCTGCTGACCAAGAAACATAATTTTCTACATAAATTTCAAAATATTCTCAAAGATGAACACAGAATAAAAAAAGAAGAGTGTAAATGTCGCATTCAAGTCAAGATCATTCTTGAAAATATAAATACTAGGATGAGACTGTTGAACTTCATGTACAACAGTATCAAGTACGATATTTCAGGTAGATTTTAAGAAAAGAAAAGGTAAAATTAAGAATCAGAAACTGATTTTCCATCTTACCGAACTGAACGTTTTTTCTCTTTGCTCTTCTCCTTTTTGTTGTAATCCTTGTCATCATGGTTGTTACTATCACCATCTTTCTCACCTCCAACTACTTTATTGTCATATTCTTTCAAAACATTTCCATTTTTTTCATTCTCATTTTTATTGGCAAAAACTTCTATGCTATTGGAAGATTTGAGAAACCTATGTGATGTGCTCTTCTCACTTAGGGATGGGCGTTTGATCGACGGCTGACGATTGGCAGTTAAAACTGACATCATTTTCTATAGAGAATCTCCTTGTCGAAGTACGGTAATATCAGTTTGTAATTAGTATTTTTATCCTGCTAAGATATTCATAAATTCCTCCATAGAATCACAGGAATATGTCACCATTAAAGTAATCCAAGATTCAACAAATGAGAGAAGCTATTAAAATACTTCAACTAAAATGTTACGGGATGTCACAAAACAGTAACTAATGCACTGCTTTCATAGAGAGCCTTCTTCAGAGTCTATACAAATGAAGAACCTCAAACATAAGAAACTTTCTCTACTGGATGCTAAAACCCAGAACTTCACAAAGTAATTTCAACTTATTGAGCAAATTTCCATTCTGTGGAATAACTAAAAAAAAGAAATCATTATCAGAATGTATCATCACTGAAGTATTTCCAATCAAATGAGAGAAACTATGAAGTCCATATTATCATCAGCAAAAGCTACTAAATGACATAAATAACACTAGCTCTGCTTCAAAAAGGAACCTTACTGAAGAATGTCAACAGATTCAAAATGCAACAAACTTTTTTTAATGTGCAAAATGATTTACTTTTACTGTGACGTCAATCTACAAAGTAAACTAAATTTATCAAGTAAATTTATATCCTACGGAATAAATAGAAAAGAGATATAGCGTGAAGTTCCTGGAGGGGAACTTGAGGCTTGTGATTAACATCTTTATCTTCAGAAATATTATATAGTCAACTGGTTGATAACCTCATTGAAGGTTAATAATTTGTTATATTGTAGTTAGTCACTGATTTTCTTTTCAAAAATAATCATAGCATTAACAAATATATATGAACAACATTTTAAAAAATAAATTAAACAACTAAGTAATTTATTAAATAAATAAAAATTAATAACCATGAGATTCTAAACCAGACCATTCATTACTACTAATTACAAAATTATTATCTTACATTTATTATTTCTGTGTAAACATTTGGAATTCCTCTGTTTTTGAATTTGCACTGAGATCTACATAAATACAGTACAATTTTACCAAGTAACAAATAAAGAATATATAACTATACATGTTAATACTGTATAATACATCTTCTTATAAAACATACTGTTTCCCATAAAATGTAAAAAATTATGATTTGTGATATTTCTTTTCTCATGCACTGAATTTAAGGCAGAATTTACTTTTGCATTCTCTTACATGGACTTACAGTAGTCAAGCTTTTAGTATCCATGAAGATAATGATAAGTAAGAATGACATCAATAGGAAACCAACACATCAGAAAATTATCCTGAAACTGTGAATATACTGAGCCATTGTACTAATCTACAATAACAACACTTATAGGACCCCTCAATTAAACTTTTGCACATGTAATTCTGAAGCTCATTGACGTCATAATAATTTATATCCACAGGAAAGAAACCCAGGAAACAATGATCCAGGTAAAAACTTATAAATATGCCTCATTCTCAATCTTTAACTACAGTGTATATTTAATTGAATGAATCCTCTAGAAACTGCTGATGAACTTTACGTTCAGCACAATTGACATTCACGATGTCTTAAAGGTGCCTGTAAACAAAACTTAACGTGTCTCATATTGGACATTTCTTAAAACCCCTAGGAAGTAGCGAGTAACGAGCTTTAATAAGCGGCATCCTCTGCCACTTGCGGTCATGAGTAAGACGTCG